GAAAAAAATCTAATATGGAGAGTCTAAACTGACACTAACAGAAAAATCCTCAAAAAGGTTAAGAATCATTCCTGTACAATAACTACTTCAACTTCTCTATTGAGCCACAAACCCAAACTATGCAAATAAAACCCACCAGAGCACTACTAATCTAAAAGTTATCACAAGTTATAGCATTTTTTTCCTTTTTTTTCTTTCACCTTTTGTTTTGTGGGCTTAAGATTTTGTTCTACTTTTAATCTCGTTTTTATCAAACCTGTTCTGGAAATGTTTGTCACCTCTAGACAGTACTTCCTTTTTTTCAGGCTATTTGTTAGACTGACAGCACAGTGCATGCATGTCAAGTCGTGTCCAACTCCTTGCAACCCCATGGACTGTAGCCCACCAGCCTCCTCTGTCCGTGGGATTTCCCAGGCAAGAATCCTGGAGTGGGTTGTCATTTCCTTCTCCAGGGGATCTTTCCGACCCAGGGATGGAACCCACTTGTTTTTTTTTATCTCCTGCATTGACAGATGGATTCCTTACCAACTGTGCTACCTAGAATTCTTAGACTAGGAAGACTGAACCAGCATGGTAATTATTCCAGGAAAAGTACAAAACCATTAGATCCCTTCAGGACACTTGACTCTAAGATTAAATCCTATTTCAATAAATATTTCTCATTCAACGGTCCATTAATTTCATGTGATTTCTAATAAATTTCTGGAAAAAGATGTTTGGAGACTCGTAGCATTTATTATAGAGTGATCTGACCTGTGATATTTGCAACTCTTATGAAAAATGAATGACTAAGCTTATCTTCCTCATTTATTTGTTCAGTTCTCCTCAGCTGATAAATGAGCATATGGAGGTGGAAGGCCATTACCATTACATCAGTCTACCCAAAAAGTGAGGGCCAACAGATTCATGTCCGGGATAACCCAGATAATCCAACCGTCGGAACTTCCTTGGTTGGTACAGACCCGCTCCTGAGAGTGAATACATCTTTTCTTCACTAAGCTTTAAAGCTTGAATTTAAAATACACATGAGCATTAGAAATGTTGGTGGTGACAACCGAAATAAAGGACTGGTCTTTATAGAGTTTTAAAACCCCCTACCAGTCAGTTTAAAATTGCAGATTCATTACATTGGAATCATGTACCGCTATAGCCAGTGTGGGGACACTACAGATTCAAAGCAAGGCATCGTCGAGATTTTAAATGGTCCTTTTATACGACACTCCACAAAGTCATGTGTAATGGAAGGAATCATGTTCAAAAGATCTGCCTGATAAGTAATTTTCGAAACTTTTCCAACAGTTATGTTAGCCACACTGTTAGTTTGAGTGCATATTTGTGTGCTAAGCTGCTTCAGGCATTTCTGACTCTTTGAGACCCCATGGACTATAGCCCACCAGGATCTCTGTTCATGGGGTTCTCCAGGCAAGAACACTGGAGTGGGTTGCCATGTCCTCCTCCAGGGGAACTTCTCAAGCCGGGGATCGAACCTGCATCTTTTTTTTTAAATAGTGAGACAGTTTATTAATCACTTTAATCAAATGGAGATAGAAAAGTCAAGGTATGCCCATACGTTTCTAGAGTGAGGACCAGAAATATGGTTTGAGAGTGGGATACTCCATTGTTATTCAAAATGCAGGAAGTCAGATAAAATGTCTTTCTTGTCAAGAGGAAGACAGTATTTTTAAAACATACACATGCATTCTATACACCTCTGCATAGTGACCATACAAAGACATCTTCTGATAGTTTCCTGGGTACAGGCCACAAGACCACCATACATATAGTTTTCTAGTAAGATCCTTTGTATTATTTTTATAATTAATCTCCCTTATATGAATAGCAAACCAGGGATATCCATTATCATAGCAAATGCTGGTGCAGTGCAAACCTGCATCTCTTATGTCTACAGGTAGTTCAATTATTCCCTTCTTGTCACCCATTTATATTTATTTATAATATTAAAAGCATAATTTAAAATAAGTATACAGTTACTCATTGGAAAGGACCCTCATGCTGGGAAAGACTGAAGGTGGGAGGAGAAGGGGATGACAGGGGATCAGATGGTTGGATGGCATCACCGACTCGATGGGCATGAGTTTGGGTAAACTCCGGAGTCGGTGATGGACAGGGAGGCCTGGCGTGCTGCAGTCCACGGGGTTGCAGAGAGTCGGACATGACTGAGCGACTGAACAACAGCAACATGTGCTTACTGTCTCTTTCTGAACCCAGCAACACATTGGATAAAGCTCAGATTTACTCCAGTTTTTAGAAAATGAGTATTTTACGTAGCTCTGGAAATACGCCACCAGACAGGCCCACCTCACACACGTGTGACCTGCAGACACTCCAGCTGCGGGAACACTCGCCTGGGGCTCCTGCGTCCTCAGCTGGGGGTCGCGGACCTCCGGCCACCTCCCTGGCCCAGGCCCACCTTCCCCCGCCCCCACCCCCACCTCCAGGCCAGGACCACCGCCAGGCAGACAGGGCAGAAGCGGGCAAGGCAGGGGCTGCTGCCAGCTCACCCGCCTCCACCCAGCGCCCCGCTCACCGCCCCTGGCCCTGACCTTCACACGCCACCCGAGTTTCTCAAAGGATGGGACGCTCGTGACATGGAATTCCCTCACGAAACACTCATCAATCTGACTTCAGCTGCTTGCTGAGGACCAGGCCCACTGCCGGGGAAACTGGAATTGTTTCTGTGCTCGCGCCAGCAGGGTGCAGCGGGGAGGAGAGTTGCCAAGTGTTTCTCTCGGAGTACTGATGTGACTACCCTTTCAGACCCCTGTGGTTTCAATAAGCTTTGGGAGAACAAACCAAAGACGTTAGGGCAAACTTATAAGTAATGTTTCCCTTTGTTGACAATACTCTCGATAGTTTCACATTCATCGGGGCTTTTAGAGCATAAACTACCTGTACTACGCCAGTTTAACCACCCAAGGGCCCTTTCGGTTATTTTCTAAAATCATCTGTCCACACTCCTAACACATGCAAACCTTAAGCCACCAAACTTTGATTTTTTTCTCATTTTTTTTAAAGTAATTATAGATACTTAGGGTAAATGAAGCTCTATTGCAGGACTTTGAAAAACTCACGTTCTATCAAGAATTGTTTTCCCTGACAAATTCCTAATGGACCTAGCCCTCTATTTTTGAAGTGTCTGTCCCTCAGTTCAAAAAAAAAGGGGTCCCCTCTAATTTAGAACATTTTAATAAACTTTAAACTGAAAAGAGATAGTTGAGCTTCTTCTATCTGAAATGTTGATAGAAAGAAAATTCCCTCCATGTCTATCCAAAAGAATTCCTTTTAAAAGTCTGATTTTTTAAATGCTCTATAATAAACTGAAGTTTTTATATTTTAGTAAGACCACTGGAGTGGGTTCGACCCTGGGCCTCCTGCACTGCAGCCAGATTCTTCTGAGCCACCAAGGAAGCCCAATATAAAGTTTTATGTTACATGTAACAAGGACACTTGTATTTCCTTAATATTGTAAACATTAAGTTACTGACCCACTTGAAAGGACTATTTTCTTTTCCTGAAGCAGCAGCAGAAAGGCTGGCCATGCCCTGCTGCCGTCACCCATGCTCACTCCTCCCTGGGACGTCTGTCCCCACCTTGGTCTTCCCGGGAGCTTCTGGGCAAGCACAGCCTCTGTCTCAACCCTGCCGACATGGTTTGAAGGCTACATTCTAGGGCTTTCTGAATGTTTCACAGCGGATGTTCCAGAAGGAAATAAGCAATGAAGATTGCAATTCCAAATGAGGTTCTAAAATAAACACTTCCTGTGTTCAAAACTATCCACTAGAGCATTTTATCAAAAGATCCCGCTAATCAGGAGAACTGATACCAGAGATGCCAACACCCATCAGTGGAAAACACTGGTTTGTAACCTACTTTTTGTGAAGATGCACATTTTGGTAATTTTGATATGAAACTAAGAATATCAACAAACAAAAGTCACTAAAATACCAAAGCACTATGTAAGTTTGGCAGACAGACCATCCTCAACTCAGACATGGTGAGCCGATGAAACCTCAACATTCTACAGCTTGACCGTGATAATCATATGACTTCAAAAGTCCAGAAATGTAGATTTATTTTTATTCAGAAATACTTTCATATTCTTTAACTCTTCATCAAAAGTTTAAAAATTCAAAATGGACACAGAAAAATTACATGGGTCTTAGAAGCTATGTCAAACATGCGAGTTTTAAGAGTGACATTTACACAGTGTAATTTAACCCTCGTAAGTAATTTTCTTATAATCAAATTATTATGACAGGAACACAAACATACCATATATTACTCTTTAAATTTTTGTTTACAATATGTTCTTGTCAACGGGACACTTCAAAATGTTTAAACCTGACAGAAAAGCATTAAAAAAAAAAAGTACCAATGGAAGAAGAAAGTATGAGAAACACACCTGTCCTTACCTGCTGTGAAGACGGGAAACACTGCACTAAAAACTCTTCACCCATCCTCCTGGAGAGCTGCTTCTGAATATCTACACTTGGGTCTATTGTTCTTTAAAATCACTTTAGACTTAAAATCAATTCTTTGTTCCCAAGTGAGAAAGAGGCCCACTTCCAATATTCACTTCCATTGATGCCCTCTGCATTTCCTCTAAAGGGGCTGGTTTCTGGGTCAGAGTTAGGCAGGGACCCGCTGTAAGAAGGAAACCCAGTCTCACAGCTACCACAGACTCAGTGGTGCAACAGTGAGCGGAACCGCTTTCGAGAGTGAGCCCGGCATCGGAACCATCCCTCGGATACCGCTCACTGGGGGAAGGAACCCTGGGTTTGACGTTTCGGAAGCTCGTCGTGTTGGAGATGCAGCCTCAGGAAGAAGAGGGCTTCTCAGCTAAAGGCGCGGGCCAGTCCTCCTCACCTCCTCGGCCCTCGGGGACCAGCCCTTCGCAGTCCCCCTGCCCGCGGGGCGGGGCCTGAAAGGGGCCTGGGGGGCGCGGAGGTTTGGGAGCCGGAGACTGCCGCACGGGGAAGCTAGAGAATTGAGGAGAGGAAACCGCGGGACGTCTTGGACACCACGGTCGTCTCCGGCGGCCCCGCAGGTCTGGGCTGTGGTGTGGGGAGAGGAGGTGAGACTATTAAACCCGTGCCTTCTTTCAACCAAAAGAAAACAAAAGCCTCTTTGTGGCTTCTTTTAAACCTGATTTGTTTTAAAAAAAAAAGAAAAAGGAAGAGAGCTGTAGGTGGAAGAACTTCAAGGAAACAGAGGGAGCTGCTGCCCATGACAGGCCCTGAGTTTCCCGAGAGATTCAGCCCCCACTCTTCCCGAACCCCGCTCTGCCCCGGCGGCTCAGTCTGAGTGCAGGCGACACTGCATGCTTTGTAAAGACAAGGCAACTTGCATTTACCATCCTGCATTTCCTCTGCACGTAGTCTCGTCCTAGTCATCCTACATACTCTTACCCCATCCCTTCCAAAACACTTTCAATATGTCTGTTGTTAAGTACTGTTTCACCTATAAGGCAATATATATATATTAAAAACTCAGGTTTGTTTGCAAACAAAAAAAGTGCTTAAAACCATCTTATGCAACTGTTTTTCACTTCATTTTCAACCAAAAAAAAAAACACCACATTTGGGTTTATGAATAATACTGAAAAAAAAATAGTGAATCTGATTCTTCCCATACATGTTTTTTTAAAATGTGCCTTTATTTCCCATGTTAACTTACATTAACTGACTCATTTCCGTACCTTAATGAGTTGAACTCTTGCTTGGAAAATATAGAAGGTACAAATATATAGAACTTTTAGGACTAAAAAATTTTCTGAATATAAAAATGCTTTCTATACTTCAAAAATAACACTTTTAGATTCTTGTTGTAGTTTTGGGTTTGGTAACTTAAGTACCCAAGGTTTTTTTTAAAAAATAACATGGTTTTAAATACAAAGTTATCTAGGAACCACTCACATCTATGGATCAACCCCACAAAAAGTTTAGTTCCTCAACAAGAAAACCCCAAATATTCTCGTCATAAAATAAAATTCCATTATCAAAAACTAGCTTAAGATAGAAAACTGTATGCCTTAGTGATTGCCAGAACTGCCCATCATAGCTTCAGTAAAATACAGAGAACTGATCTAGCAGATACAATCTCCACATGTGTGCAAGTTCTGCAAGTCAGACAGCTGGACCCCGGGAAGCTGCGGCCCTGCCATCGGGCACCATCCTTCCCAGCGAAGCCCCTCCACTTCGGCCCCGCCCGGGTCCTCCCGCGGCTCATCCCAACCCGGCGCCTGCATTCTTCCCGCCACCTACGCCTGCCACAGCGCCCGCGGGGGTCGGCGCCAGGACAAAGCGCCAGTCGGCCAGCACGCCTCCGTCCTTTCTGAGCTGTGAAGACCTCCGTGACCGTCTCGGAGCATGGGGCCTAGATGAGCCGGGAGCCCCGGAGGAACTGGATGAGCACGCGGTACACGAACGTGTACTGGCAGAGGGTCTGCACCATCAGCATCCGCTGCCGCCGCAGCAGGTCCAGCACCCGCGGGACGTCCAGCGCCTGGCGGGGGGAGGGGGGTGAGGGCGCGGCTCCCGAGACCGCGGGGGGGGGGGGGGGGGGCGGGGGCGGTCCTGGGGGACCCTGGCCGCATCTCCTTCGGAGAAGCTCGAGGACGTCTGTGCGGAAAGCCCTGGCCGTGGGGGGTGGGGGTGGGGGTGGGGGCCCCTCTGTGCCCGGCCCTGTTTCCGGCCCCCCTCTCCCCTCGGGGGGTGGAAGGGTGGGGTCCCTCTGTGCCCAGCCCCCCTCTCCCTGCGCCCACAGAGGGGCAAGCACCTCGTTGTGCTCGAGGCAGGCGATCATGATCTCCGACAGAATGACGACGCCTGTCCGTCCCACACCCGCACTGCAGTGGACCAGCAGCGGGGGGTGCGGGCTTTTGGGTTCACTCGTGCTGTTCGTATGGCGTCGAACAGACTGGATCTCTTCGAGGTATGCTGTGAAACGTGGATGGCACAGACAGACACAAAGGGCCTTAGGCCGATCAGACCGACCATTTTCAGGTCGTCTCCACTGGCTGAGAAGGCCCCAGACACAGAGCACCGGGTGCCGATGAACCAGCCCAGCTACTGACCCGCAGGGCGGTCTCGGGAGAGTTCCTGCCTTTACCTGGAAACCGATTTTTCTCATCCGCAAAATGAAAAACTTCAGGGAACAGGAACTGCCTGGCTCACTAACCAAGTTATGCTCTAAACCGTCTTCTGCTAAGCTTTCCCCGAATGCTTGAAATTTTCAGTTTAAAACAAGCCCAGCCTCGCATGCAACAATACAGAGGCAAGAGAGCAGCTCCGCGGTGGCCTCCGGCGCGGGAGCGCAGACACTTACACAGGAAGCCCTTGAGGTCCTCGGGGCAGCCGTGCTCCGGCCAGTCGGTGTACTGCAGGTGCCAGACGGTCCGCTCCTGCCCGCTCAGCAGATGCTTCATCTTCAGGCCCGTGGTGGCGTAGCAGCCGGAGTCCGTGCGGAAGCGCGTGGTGATCTTGAACCGCCCGTAGGTCACGCTGTTGTGCCTGGAGCCGAGGCGCGGCCAGTACCTGAAGCTCTTCTCCCTTCCGCCCTCCTGTCAGAGAGAGCGCTCAGAAACGCGGCCGGAGCGGCCGAGGATGCCCCTGCACGGGGAGCCGTCTCGAGACTCGGACCCGCGCCCCCGCCCCTTCTCTAAAGTCAGGACCCACAGCGTCACCGTCACTGTGCGGCTGAGGCCGCGGGAAGACCAAGGGAGAGAAGTGAGCCCTCACCTCCTCCGCCGTCACCATGGCTATAATCGCAACGCCCTGCTCCCACACCATCTGCCAAAACTCCGGGCAGGTGTTCTGCAGCGGTCCCTGAGTGGCGATGTAGTCCCACTCGATCCCTCGGACACAGACCTGAAATTAGAAACGGGCTTTTTAAAAATGAGTGTGTGTGTGTGTAACACATGCATATACATTTGTTCATGGTAATACTTGAAAAGGGAACTGAACTATTCAGATGAAGACTTTCATCTTATTCTTTTTCCTTATTAGTGTAATTTCCATTACTGACACTTTTATAAGCATAAGTGTTATGAATTTATATAATGTCTATATGTGACCTGTATATATTTCCTTAACCTCTCCAAATCTCAGTTCTCATCTGCACAATAAAAATACTCCCTGCTCTCCTCTTGTCGGGATTGCTCGAGTCAACATATTCAACGCCCTGCACACGTCATGGTGTCAATAAATGGCTGTTATTCCTGCTGTTAGATGGTTCTTCTGAAAATAACATCAGCATCATCGCACCCCAAAGTTCAAACACAATCTTCCCTCGTGAAGCACAACGCACAGTAGGATCAAGTACAAGCAGTTAAGTCAAAAACCTAAGTCAAATGTCAAATTTCTAGGGGGAAAGAAAATGTCTTCCCACCTAAGGAGTTCACCGCTGAACTCCTGAGCCAGGGTCACTCTCCGTAATGGTACTGTTTCCACTTAGGATTGAAAACCTCCTTGAAAACATTCTCATAATTATGAGAGCTGTAGTCAGGAAATGGCTTAAATCTCGGCTCCCCCATACTGAGTATGGGCTTCCAGAGTGCCCTGGGTAAACCCTGGGACGAAGACGCAGCCCGAGTCATGCCCCCACGCTCCCACGCAGCCCCAGGGCCTATAGCGAACAAGGACCAGGGTGAGGGGCTGGGGGCTGGAGGGGCCATGCACTTCCTGACTCAGAGGTCAGAACAGCGGCCCACACCGCGCACTGCAGGGTGATCTGGGAATTCCTCCCGCTGCTGCTGAAGATCTCGAAATGCCACCAGGGAGCCTCAGCATTCTTCAACTCTCACCCATCCAGTCAAGGGAGACGGGGTACACTATTCCAAAGAAGTGCTTCTCAGTCACGTCCAACTCTGCACAACCCCATGGACTGCAGCCCTCCAGGCTCCTCTGTCCATGGGATTCCCCAGGCAAGGATGCTGGAGTGGGGGGCCGTGCCCACCTCCAGGGGATCTTTTCAACCCAGGGATGGAACCCAGGCCTCTTATGGCCCTGCATTGGAGGGTGGGCTCTTTACCACTAGCGCTGCCTAGAGAGCAAAGCTTGCGCGTGGAACTCTGCTGGGTGCTCTGTGGTCGCCTGCAGGGGAGGGGGTTTGGGGAGAATGGATGCCTGCATGTCTGGTTGAGTCCCCTCACTGTGCACTTGAAACCATCACAGCATGGTTAATCGGCTGCACCTCCGAACCAAATTAAAAGTTTTTAAAAATAAAAAGTTCATGCACAGATTCCCAAAGACTGTCAAGGGCAGACTGCTGGGTCCGGGAAGTCTCACTTGCGAAATGGCTCTCATCCAATGTCACCTGCAAACTGAATAAAATGTGGGAAAGAAGAAAGGTAACACCTGATCATGGATACTTCATCATTCACTCACTATAAGGAAACGTCTTCTTTCCAGAGTTAGGAACTGACTGTGCAGCCAGCGTGAACAGAGGCGGCGACGATGGAGAAGACAGAGCTTCTGGCTTTTCTCACCGCCCCCGGATGGACCATCCCTTTTTCCCCTTTACTGAGCGGAACCTTACTCAGGTACATGGCATTACCCTGTTTCCGGGGGGGAATGCAGCACCGCTTGCCCACGGAACAAAACGGTGTTTAAAAAGGAGTGAGAGAGTGGGCAAGGAGCGCAGACAGGCTCCAGTGTGAGGGACGGTGTTGGTGACACCACCCGACACACACGTGCGTCACACCAAAATGCACGGAGGTGCGTGACAAGGGAAAACGAGCCGTTCAGCTGCTCCTGAGAGAACCTGTGAGCTAGAGAGGGCTCCAGATTCAGAAGCACCAAGTGCTCCAGGCAGACAGACGAGTGGCCCGGAAGTCCTGGGGACGAAGCCGGGGCCAGGGGAACCAAAGACCGTCCCGCCCTGGGGTACGGATTTCCCAGCCTGCAGAACAGTCTGTCAAAATGGTTCCAAACGAGGGTGTTTTTAAAAACAGACTTGAAAGCAAGCCTCACCCCTCTTGTGTTACTCATTTAACTGCAGGACTCTGCCCCACCATTCTAACACTCCCCTCACCTTGATGTGGGAGGCGTTGATGTAGCCGGTGTTGTTCTCCTTAGTCGGGACCAGCTCCACCCTGGCGTCGTCGTAGGGAAGCACATCCTGGAACCGATTTCTTTCTGCGTTTTCAGGGAGGCGGGCTGTGGAGCACTCGCCGTCAACTAGCCGTTTTTTAAGAATTCTTTCATATTCTGTGAATACCATTCCCTGCTCTAACCGCTGTTCCAGAATTTTACACTGAAAACACAAAGTGAGGAAGAATATGACTGCAGTCCCAGGCCACACGCAGCTGCATCCTGACTGCATGTCTGAAAACTCGCTTTCTGCCTCAAGTCTAATGTTATCCAATACTGAAAATTCTAGGTGAAACTGAAGTTAAATTTAACAAGTCATTACAATGAAAGGACAAATGAAATAATCTTCTTGGTGAGAAATATAATGCAAGGTTCTGTTTAAACTTGTTCTAGAATAATTCATTGAATTCATTTTCTCTAAATCTATAGTCAATCACTTGACCCCCTTAGAAGGTTTGGGACTGAGGCATATACACTGCTGTAGTTAAAATGGATAATCAACAAGGACCTGCTGGCAAGCACAGGAACTCTGCTCAATGTCAGGTGGCAGCCTGGACGGGAGAGGGGTTTGGGGGAGAATGGATACATGTACACGGATGGCTGAGTCCCTTTGCTGTCCACCTGAAAATATCACAACATTGTTAATTTTAATTACCTGACCCCCTAAGAACAGAAAATTCTCCTGGAGAACAGTAAATCCTAGAGTAGGATAATTAATTCCAACTTCTATGAACAAGAGCTTCAATTTTGTGATATGACATATAAAACACTAAAATAGTCAATGTTGGAAATTATCTCCAGGATCCAGCTATAAGCACAGTAATTTCTGCTTAGCATAATTCACGCCTGCCCAATTTTGACAGAATAGAACCTCACAGCAAATACGTCTCAGTCACAAAGAAAGTTTTGAAAAACTCAGTAACTGTTCACTGTTAAAAAGTTACGATATCAGGACAGCAGTCATTGTCTGCTTTCTTTCCTATGAGTACTCACATGCAATTGCTGATTTATTCTAACTTTATGGCCACAAGAAGGTAAATAACCACAGCCAGAAACCAAAAGACAAAAATCAACATTTAGCCTGAAATGATCTATTGAGGCATTTATAAGCTTGCCCCAGTTTTGCAGTCCAGGTGACAAAGTTCCTAATACTCCTGTGAGATTATCAAATGGCTTAGAAAATCCAGCAGATTCTCAGGAAGGCAGCTCTGCTGCGCGGCTGTCCCCGAGAAGGCGGGCAGCCTGCGGTCCTGTACGTACCCTCTCATCATTAGTGGCTCTGGCCGGCACGTCCTTCTCCTCATCAGGCAGCGGCAGTCGAGACAGGGAGAGTCCATTTAGAGCAGCCAATTTGAGAGGACCGATTTTTTTTGCATCTCCTCGGCTCTTTTTCATTCCCTACAAAAATATTTACAGGTATATATATCAAACATACATGCATGCAATCCCTCTGAGAAGAGATTTCAGTGAACTGAAGACAGGGAAGAAACAGAGGGAGGGAAGGTTCTCCTAAACCAACCACCGCAGAAGAAATGAGATGATGACGCTCACACACACACACACACACACACACACAGACATTTGTTTCACAAATATGAGGAGGAAGACATTCCATTCAAGGCCAAAGCCCTGATAAGTCTTCCAGATAGAAGGTTTTGAAATGCAGCTGGTTTCAGAGCTCTGTTGCAATGGAAGGTGAGGTTCCAAGCAGACGGCATTCCTTCACGGGATTCACAGGACTCCTGAATGTCAAACTGTGACACGCACGAAACTCAGCTGCAGTCCACAATGAGGGTTTCAAATGTAGTGGCCTGACTGTAGTAAGCTTTCATACTTTAAAAAAAAACAACAACAGTTTCTTTCTCAGTGTTTTCTGAGGTGGCTCTATTGTCTTCTACAATCTGTGGCAGACTTGTGTGACTTGGGTTAGACTACCACACTTCTGGTAAATGCTGCATTTTCAAGTGAAGAAAACAGCAGGGCCAAAATCTCCGTCATTACACCATGAGAGGGTATGAGAGAGGGCATCCATGGAATTCTGTCTTCTGAAAACTGGGGTTTCTTCAAGCCAGCAATTTTGCTCTCACAGGCAAAGGAGCCCAAGAATGCCAAGTCCTCTTTAATAGTCTACACCTCCTGGGAAGCCATGGGATATAATTATAATGACGGCAGCCCTACTCTGACAGAAACGGTTTCCTCAGTTCTGTCTCATAAATGAAATCAACTCTACCCCAGCTCTGTCAGCCTCACAGGGAGCCGGAGAGAGAGGCCCACAGACTACCAGGTTCCTGCTCAGGAGACAATGTCATGATTCTCGGGTGTACAGGAAACAGGTAAGCAGCTAACAGTGCGCTGGGCTGGGGGGGGGGGTGCATTCTGATGTATGATGCTTGCCAGGTTCCAGGGTGCAAATTCTCCCACCACGGCTAACGTCAATCTGCCTCACGAGAGCCCGGAAATGGAATACTTAGCTCCCGACAGCCAGAAATGGCCCCAGCACTTCTCGGCCTGAAAATGCTCCAGCACACGTCCTGGGTGATTGCTAAGGTCAACTGTAAAGCCAGTATTTGAAGAAAGGGGCTCATAGTCAAAACTCACCCCAAACACCCCTCACTTAGCTGTCAGAGGTTTTAAATGTACAGGCCGAATGGTGGTTTCTCCTGTGAGAACCACCACGCAAGACTGAGGGTGAAACAAAAACTCTTTATGTAAACGCACAAGCATTCAAACCAGTCCACCTCTGCCTGATAGCAATCAAGTCCCTGCAGGTGGAGATGGGTGGAGAACTCCAGAATGTACCTGCTTATCTGCAATTCATTTCACTGTTTTTAGTACTAAACCTCCATAACCATAATTCACATAGTATGTTCATTCGCTCGTGGTCACCATTAAAACAACAAAGGCAACCGGGAGTTACTACAAAGGGGGTCAGAGGGGTAGCAGGGGTTGAACTCCAGCTCTTGGGAAGTCAGTCAGTTAAATGTATGATGCAACCTCACAATAAGTTAAACTTGACTGAGCACTTTCTACGAGCCAGGACCTCACTTTTTTTCCTCCAACAACTCTCTGGGGTTGTCTCAATTACAAATGAAAAAACAGGAGTCAGAGAGATTAAGTTCCTGGTCCAAGGTCATACCAGCTAGCTGCCTCCTTATATATGGTAAACAGGCTCAAAACATAGAAACCCTGCATTCAAGTCAGTCGTGCTGCACGACAGAATTCAGAAAACACTTTCTGAGTCTAATCTTAAGTGGGACCTAACACCGCACCACAGAAGACAGAGGAGGGGTGCCCGTCCCGGGTCATGGATGGAGGAGCTGAGGGGCTGGTGTGTGAAGGGCCTGGCCCCCTAGGAGAGAACCAGTGAACAGCACGGTCTGGACTCAGAGCCGATTTCCACTCTTAGGTCCTGTACCTATTCCCAGGCCATGGCTGCCATTCACGTCTTCCCTAAGAACGTTCCTTATTTGAAAAGACCGGGGCGGGGGGTGGGGTTGGGGGTGGGGGTGCTTCCCTGGTGGTTCGGTGGTTTGGAGTCTGCCAATGCAGGGGAAGCAGGTTTGATCCCTGGTCTGGGAGGATTCCACCTGTCCTGGGGCAACTAAGCTTACACGCCACAAACAAGGGGAGCAGAAGCATAACCCAGTCCACGGTCTCACTGACACTGTAGGCCTCCAAGTCAAGGAGGGAGGCATCTTGCACCTTTAGAGAACCCAAATCACAGTCCTCAGATTTAGCAGAGCTTGCTAGGCCCATTCAAAAACTACAGGGACAACAGGCTTGAATACTGGACTCGACTCATCTGGGGCCAGACTCAGGCCCCTCGTTAAGAACTAGGCACAGTCCTTGATGCAATCAGTGAAGAGTGTCAACTACGAGAGGGCCGGAGCGACAGGTGAGGACTCAGGCTGAGTTACTCCTTCCAGGAGACACATCCACACCCCGTCCCGCCCTGAATCACCGACACTGGGCCATCCCCTCCGCTTCAGCCGACCTGAGACACTGGCCTTTACTGTAGGCAGCTGAGTAAGAATGCACTCCCAGGAAAAAGTGAAAATCAACTTAGAGAGAGCCCACGTGCCAGGACAGGAAACATGGGGGTCCAGCCCCTGGTCTGGGAAGATCCCACGTGCCTCGAAACAACTAAGGTGCAGCAACTGAGCCTGGGCCACAGCCACAGCCCCGAGGAGCCCCGGCGGAGAACAGCCTGCCCGCCGCCCCTGGAGAAAGTCCACACGCAGCAACAGAGATCCCGTGCAGCTAAAAGTGAAGTGACTGGTTTTCCAAAACAAACTTACAGTTCAAGACCATTCAGAGAAAACACATTTAAATCCACGGCACTGTTAGTCGTTCGAGTCTGTGTACTCTCATCTATTTCATAACCACTGTTAGGAATTCTCCTCCTGCTTATGAAGATGTTTGTGACGTCTCAGAGGATCGAATAATACACGAGGCCAGGACCACATTTGCGACGGGCCCTCAGGTCTGAGCGTGCTGACCAGCAAAACAGGAGGCAGAGGCCCCAGCTGCCAGGACACGGGGGTCAATGGCGAGACCGAATGCAGAGGTTAATGAATCACTCTCACCCGGCAAGAGCCCCGGGCACGGGGAACGGAGGCCTGAGAAAAGCGGAGTCTGAGTTGGGCAGCCAGATGACCCAGAGGGGACACGCGGACATGAAAACGCCACAAATGCCTGGGCAACGCTGAGGGCCTCACAGTGAAAAGGTTTCAGTGGGAAGAGAGAAAACAACAAGGCTGAGACAAGCAATTATTACTTAATAAAATGTGTATGTCTGTGTTAGTTGCTCGGTTGTGTCCAACTCCTTGCAACCCCAGGGACTGTAGCTCTCCAGGCTCCTCTGTCCATGGGATTCTCCAGGCAGGAATACTGGAGTGGAAAGCCATGTCCTTCTCCAGGAGATCTTCCTGACCCAGGGATCAAACCCAGGTCTGCATACAATATTTTAAAATATCCAATACAACCTCAATGCAGAACAGTGTAGAAGAGAGGAGAACTGGCTACAGAGACAAACACGGGTTTAAAATCCGGTCACTCATGAGCTGTGTGACCTTGGGAAAGTTACTGAGTATCTCAGAGTACACCTTCTCATCTGTAGAAACAACAGGCCTGTGTAAAGTGGACACAGTGAAGCAGATGGCCTGCTCCGCTTGCAACAAATGCTCTGGGAACGGCCTTCACCAGCTAGAGATGATGCTATGCTGTTCCCTAGTTTGCCTCAAGTAGATAAGAAAGTGCTTAAATCAGCACGCTTTATCACACCGAGTATGAAGGAGCTGCATTTTCTACCAGGGACCTTCCTCGGGCTCTCAGCTCACTCAGTCTCTTTTTTAAAAACATCTGGGGTGCTCAGGTTTTTGGTCTTGGCAAAGCAGCCCAGAATCACCCTCCAGTCCCCAGAGATCACAGCACAGCAGTTTAATCCGCACCCACACAGACCCCACTAAGGACACCTCAGGGGAGCTTCCCTGACCTCACAGGAGCCCCAGGCTGTTTTCACCTGGGGCTCACAAGGCCGTCTTGGCCCAAATCATGAAATCCTCACTTCCTCTTCCCTTGTACCACCTTCGGGAAACTACCCATTCACTGTTTCTCTTCCATTCCACAGAGCTTCCTACATTCACCTTTCCCTCCATCTAAGCCATTATCTCTAGCAATGTCACCAAGATTCTGATCAATCCCCATCATTTCCATAGATAGTCAATCTCAGAGTGTTCCAAAATAAAGCAAAAATAGGGTAAAACGTGTGTGTCTGCTGGGGAACGGGGCTGTTTGAAAGAAGCTCCAAGGAAAAAGCTGAAAACACCAGAAGTCACAGACAAGACGGACAAAGGGCAGACGGCGCAGAGAAGGGCAGGTCTGCAGGGGGCGCCGCGCTGTGGGGCGAGGCCCCCCGCGCCCATCCCGCACGGCGCGCGGCTCACCCCCAGCGGCGGGAGCCCTTCCACCGCTTTCTCCTTCTTCGCGGAGAGATCAGACGCCGGCCTCTTCTGCAGCGAGTCCCTCCGGGCGCGGTACCTCCCCGACGTGGTGAGGTCTGACTCAGATGCAGACGGCGACAAGAGCCCGTCCCGCCGGGGCCGAGGGCCCTCCCCGGGCGCAGCGCCCGGGGCCTGGGGCTCCAGGATGTGCAGGGGCCCAGGGGCTGGGGGTGCGGCACGGGGGCCGTCCAGGGGGCGTCCGCTCCGGGAGCCAGGCGGTGGCACAGGCCCCTCCTCGGGGTCCTCGTCCTCATCCTCGTCGCTGCTGTGGATCAGCACGGTGGCGTCGGACAGGGACTTTCCGTGCCCGCCTCGCAGGCTGCCCCGCGGCCTGGCGGCGCTGTCCTCTGCCCGCGGCGCCGGGGCCGATGCGGCCCTCTCCTGCAGCCGCAGGCCCTCGAGGCCGTGCGCCAGGCCCGCCAGCTCGACGCTGTTGCGCTCCTGCAGCCGCGCGCGCCGGGCAGCTGTCAGTGGCTCGCTCACCTCCTGCAAGGAGTGCGCCACCGGCGAGCTGTCCTCCTGGAAGGTCTGCACGGAATGGTGCACGCGGCGCGTGATGAGGTCGGGGCTGCTGCTGGCGGGCGGCTGGCGGGACAGGTCCGGGGTGCTGTTCGCCGGCCGCGGGTGCGGGTAGGGGGGCGGCGGGCGGTACACCTGCGTCCTCAGGATGCTGGGCGCCGGGCAGTCACGCGCCTGCAGCTGCGCGTTGGTGAGCTCGGGCACGCTCACGGCGCCCAGCCCCGGGCGCCGCCCGGCCGCCGAGGCATAGGGGTAGGGCGCCGGGCTGTGGAAGCTGTGGCTGAGGCTGAAGGCGCCGGGGGCCGCGGGCGGGGAGCCTGGGCGCGCGTGCTCGCGGATCTCAGGCTGGCTGTACACCAGGCTGAGGTTCCGCAGCGAGCGGCTGTGCCGCTCGGCCGGCGCCAGGCCGCGCTGCAGCTGCTTCATGACCGTCTCGTAGTCGGGGGTCGGGCGGTAGGACGGCGGGATCAGGGCGCTGTGCCGGTGCGAGGGCACGTAGTCGGGTCTCAGGACGTCGCTGCCCGTGATGCTGGGGTTCGAGGAGCCCGGCGAGGGCTGCAGGTAGGGCTGCGGGCTGTTCAAGGAGCTGGTGCTGTGCGCGCTGTACACGCTGCCGTTGCGGACGCGCCCGCCGAGCTCGGCCTGCGCGCGGTCCAGGCTGGTCTGAGAGTGGCAGTAGAAGCCATTCTGGTTGGTCACGAAGAGGTTATCTGCGGGCGGGGGGACAAGACCATTAGCAGGCACTTTATAAGGAGATTTTTTCTGAATGTTCTAGATTGGACCAATTACTCAAGACAAATACTGGGACAGCCTGAACGCTGATGACCTCCACCCTGTGGTTTATGAAACCAGGCTGAAGGGACCCGCCTCTACTCACATCGCCGGACCGTAGACGCGCGGTTTCTGGGCACCTTGCCTCCTCACCTCCAGAATGGGGTGGTTCTGCCTGCTCTAAGAGCGGGATTCAGGACCTCACACCCAGTAAAGAACAGCCGAATCTACGCTCAAGATTAAGAGTACAACTGTACCACTAAACACTGCCCTCTTCTGAAAGTCAAGAGCATGTGTTTTACTAAAGACAAAGCAGGCTTTCCAGAACTCTGGGGAGCTGAAAGCAGAAATACCCTTGGGTGTGTGGCCCTGCTGATGCTGAGCGAGTTCAAGCACCGACTGTTTGTAAACATTTCCTGAAATGAAACTCAAGGCGGGTGTGTAATTCCTCCAGAATGAAGATAACAGGGCAAAGAGTTCAGCAGGATCTAAGCCTCTCGAGGTCCACGAGTGTCACTGGTAGCTGCACACCTCACCAGGGGCCGGAAGCCAAGAAGACCCCCACAAAGACAGCAGCACCTGCCTCAGGCCCCGACCTGAGTAAGACTGGGGTCACAGCGAGCAGAGTTAGGAGCCTCATCTCTCCACGGAGGCTGCATGTGCACCTGCTCAGGCTGAAAGGAGGCCTGCTTCTTCAGTCCAGCCTGCAGTTCGCCTGAGAAACTACCCAGGGTGACTTCTAACACGTCAATGGAAAGACCGCCAGAGAACAGTTGCCACTGATAAAAAACATCCTTTTTTTCTACTCAAAAGCCTCATGCTGGCTTTGTCCCAGGGAACAGGCCAGCGTCTCACGTGTGGTCTCTGTTGGGTGGCATACACAGCCACGATGACACAGGCCTGTCTCCCTGCGGACGCACCGAGCTTATCCTGTCTGGAAAGTGCTCTGAGGCCTGCGTCTGTGGCGCCCCCTCTGCTCACAGCCGCCACCGCTCGCTCAGCCTCACCCCCGCCCGTCTAGACCAGCGTAATACCTGCTGGTCCTGCTCTGCACACCCCCAAACTACCCAATTACCAGTCTGCATGTGTAGAAGACTCTGGGTGCGGTATGTGTCGGGAATGATTACGATCAGACAAATAAAAAGGGAAAGTACAGAAATCACCAGAACCCAAGGAAGAAGTGTTGCAACTGAAGGAGGGAAGTGTTGCAAGTGAAGGAGCCAGTGTCACAGGAGCCGGGAGCGGGAAGGAGCGCTTCCGGCTGGGGCTAAGTGATGCGGTCAGGGACACCTCCGGGACACGCGGCATGTGGGGCCTGGAGGGCGGGCAGCTGCCGTTTCACCAGCAGTCAGGCCCCCTGGCTCTGAGCGCTCTCGAGGTGCCCTCCTCCCTGCGGGCAGGCACAGCCGCATGTGGAGTCACAGTTGCGGGAACGTGAGCAGAGTGTACAGAGGCAGTCCCCTGCCCTTCCCTGGCCACCCTGGCCACCCGTGCAGAGGGAAGGGGCTCCAGCCCAGAGCCCTCCTGCCAGGGCAGGGGGGCAGGTAACCCGAGGAGGGGTGCACGTGCCCGCAGAAGCCACAGGAGTTTGAGTCTGTGCCCACAGCACAGGCAGTCTGGCGGAAGCGCGTGGGCAGGGGTAGGCAGGAAAAGGACGCGGAGAGTGACAGACCGGGGCAGGCAGCAGGGAGACTTGGCAGAGACGGCGTAGCTGGAGGAGCCTGGGGCTGGAGAAGGCACGGGACGGGCGGGGCCGTGAGACCTCGAACAGGAGCACTGAGGGGCATCTCAGAGGACGCGCAACACTAGACAAGGGATCGACCGGCAGGGAAGTGGGATGAGCCGGGCCGCTGAGTGTCAGATGACCCAGGGAGGGTGGGAACTGAGGATGTCAGTCAGCTCCTGTGATGCAGTAACTGATGAGAGGTCTCAAAAAAAAAAAAAAAACCAGACTGCATTGGCAGGAGCAGAGGGATAGGGAGAAGGAGATACAGAACAGATGCTCCATGAAGTTAATCAGAGGCAAGAGGATTTGCAACTGTCTGGGAACTGAAGGCAAAAACGAGAAAAGAAAAATTACAAGCAGTTTGGAATCCCAGTTAACTAGGCGGGCGGGGGCGCGAGCGGGGGTGCAGTGACTTCACCATAAGGAGAAGGGAAGCTGGGGAAGGGACTTTTGGAGCAGGGTGATGAGTGCAACTCCAGGATGTCAAGCCTGCAGCACGCAGTGGCAGCAGAACCAGCGCTCCCACTCAGCCCGCGGTCCTGAGGGCCCCCTGAACGGCCCCCAGCCTGCCGGACAGGGGGCACGTGGGGCCAGAGCTCAGGAGTGAAGGTGGGCTGGAGAACACGGACAGTCCTCCTCACTGAGACCCCAACTGCGGATGAGACGAGATCAACTGGACGCCTGAGGAGGGAGCAGGGCCCTGGGCAGACCTTCGGGGCAGGGAACACCAAGGGGGCAGGAGCGGGGAGCGGCCAGCGCGCTGAAGGGCCTAGAACGCTGGGGTCCGAAGGGAGGGAGGGTGTGCGGGGCCCGGGGACCTGCTCGAGGGCAGCTTGGCGGAGCAGCACAGGCGCGAGGGGAAGGGGGACCAGTAAGCAGAAGGGGCACACAGGTTATCAGGCTCAGAAGCGGGGAGAAAATGAAAGAAAAGATAGTTCACGCTGCAGTCTGGAGAGAGAGGAAAGACATTAGGATGCTCGCAGATGGAGGAAAAGGGAGGAACAGAGAGGAAATACAGTGCAGAGAAGAGAGATTTTGGGGGGGTGGTCATAAAACCACAGGAGGGCAGCGTGCAAGGAGAAGCCAGTGAAGAAGGTAGAAGTAACATCCTGAGGCGCACACTCTGCAGCCAAATCCACCCCCGAGTTCCCCCGCCCCCACCAGCTCACCGCAGGGAAACTCTCACCAGCAACGCGCCACCACCCACCTCCTGGTCCCCTCACATGCCGCCCTCCACAGTTCCCTGTGGGTCTGAGTCCAAGCACCTGCTTCGCCATCTGTGCCAGGGCAGTCACCCCCCACCTCCACCCAAGAGCAGGGGCAGCGGCCCCACCTGGGAGCTCGCCGCTCCCCGCCTTTCCAAGTCACCCCTCTTTCCAGAAAGCCTTCCTCAGACGACCCAGCTCACTCTCGTCACAACACGCCTGTTCCCTTTGTACCTAAGTCATCTGTGTACTTGTGTTATCCTCCTGTATTAGGTTCTAAGCTTCTTAAGATGTAGAATTACCTCTCTGCATCCATCTCCCCGCCTTTATAGCAGAGCCTTTTGACACAGTAAAGTAAAATGCTTGTAAAATGAATGCTGGAGATACAGCTTCGGAGGCGCTGTCTTCACATAGCTCAATGTGCCCGTTGTTTAAAGGATAAACATAAATAGAGGAAAATAATCCTTTACAACGGGAAGGTCTCAGGCAGGAAAAAACGCAGAACAAGGCTGGGACCTCCGGGGCTGGAAAGCACAGAAGCTCTCAGAGCCCACGGGGCACATGTTAACAAGACTTGGGAGCCAGTCTGAAGGAGTGCCCATGGGCCAAATTCAGGATCAAATCTGAGCATCAGAATCTGATGCTGCATGTTTTCTACCCATACCCAAACAAAACTGCCTCTAACAGCAGCCTCTCTTATGAATCCAGGCTGGCTATCATCATGACAGTAATTCTGTGAAATTAAATTTTAAGTTACTTGTGTAATAACTTCAGCCAAAAAACTATCCTGGCTTCAAGATCTCCAAGCCTTCACGATTTATTCAAATTATACTAATTTTGTAAGGCATTTCAGAAATGGTGTACTTTACCGAGGGAAGAGGTGTATGGCTCTGTATAATGTCCACTATATTGCAGCTGGGGTGGGGCGGCCATCACATAGGGTTGCGGCTTGGGCTAAGAATCGGAAAGTTGGAAACAGGGTTAAAAGACATCGTCTATGGGATATGTGTAGAACAGTTCTTTTCTGGCTTCTTTCTCTTCACTGAGAAACTTTTGAAGGAGCCTGACGCATTATGTATGAAAAATAAATATCAAGACCCTATAGCTCTTACCCTATCTATCCTTTTCAGGGTTTCCCAGAAAGGCAATGCTAAGTGCTATGCTCTGATATCAGACAGCAGACAGCACAAGAAAGCAGGAACAGACACAGATTTCCTGAATTCTTATATAAATAATCGATTAGAACAAACTTATATGTACTATATTTAATCTTATTAGCAAATTTTAAATATCTATTAACTTCTGATTACTCTTGGCTAATAGTCAATGTTTTCAGTATCAAGTTGGACCTAATATTTTAAAATATATAACACAATAAATGTTACATATAAAAATATTAGTCTTAAGTTGCAGAAAATCACCATTTCCTTGGTCAAATGTCAGCATACTTCAATGGTTCAGACTAAAAACTAACACTGCTAAAAGCGTATTTTATTAAGGAAGGCAACAGCACTAAACAAAAAAAGGCAATTGTAATTTTCCTTCTTTCTTACCAGAGACATCCTCGAAGAAGACCTCCTCCTAATTGGGTTCACTATGACAGTCTGAGTTTGCCTGTAAAAATAAGACATGTCCTTGAGAAACACATATACACATGCTTATATGCACACAATCTTCCTAAACATGCTACTAAGAAAGTAAAGTGATAAATCTTCCCAAGCGACAAACTCATCCAATCATCAAACAGAGAAAAGGCAGGCGGGCCCCCAGCCGCACTCCAGGGTCTGAGCCTCGCGGAGCAGCCATCAGTCACCTGGACGAGCCCAGGGCCGGGCAGGAGGAACCGTCCCCGGTCCACGCAGGCAGGCCCTCTGGAGGCATCAGCAGCAGCGCGGAGGTGAGTGCCAGGCGAGAGGGCCACAGACTCATCCCCAGGGGAGTCAGCGCAAATGCGCCTCTCCTGCGGGCCGGGCTCAGCGCTGACCACCTCCGTTCTCAGTCCTCAGGACTGACGTCAGCTGCCAGCCTCAGAGCCAGAGGCAATGCAGTGCCTTTGACGGACAGCCTGTGAGCCGCGGACCACACATATGATCAAGAGACAAGCTGGGAACTTGGGAAACTTAGCAATATGTGTGTTAGCTGCTCAGTCGTGTCTGCCTCTTTGTGACCCCATGGACTGTAGCCTACCAGGCTTCTCTGTCCATGGGATTCTCCAGACAAGAATACTGGAGTGGGTTGCCATTCTCTTCTCCGTAAGAATAGATATTTCCTCTAAGAAACTAAGGTAGGGAGAGCAAGAGAGCAGGAACATCGGTTCAGTGGGCTGGTGGTAACTCCATTTACTTTCCTCTGCAAGAAACTTCTCTCTGGTTCTAAGTGTACTTTTAAAAAAGCAATGAAAAGTATTCAGGAGTCCTGGCTAACATTATCAGATAATTTGAGATTTTAAGCTACTCAGAGCAAGCTCCATCTCTGAATAAACATAGGTCACAAATAAGAAAAAGAAAATTCCTTTTGTCAGAATCTACCTTTTAAAGATAAAGGCAGGAGTTTTTGTTGTTCATGTGTGTGGTCAGTTTTATTGCAAATAAGATCTAGGAACCTATACACATAGGATTCTTGAGTTTGTTCATGATGCAATTTTGTCAAAGCACTTTTTGAAAAACCTTTGAGCATCTATTCCTGGCCCATAAGCTTATGTGACATGTAATTACAGATTACCAAAAATGTCATCCTTGGTTATAGTGTTCCTAAGGACTAATTACTAGAAAATCCATAATCACAAAGTGACATTATCTCCATTTAATCAGTACATTTACTATCACAAGCCTCAAGTCTCAAAAATTATTCTCAGCACTGTAACAACAAATTTCATGTATTAAATCCCTAAATATTAGCTAATTTATTTAAGATTTTTGAGATAAAAGAAAATTACTCCTAATAGGAGCTATCAAGTAGCTGCAACTGCTTTTATGAGTTGACTTTTTTTGATTAAACACTTTTTAAAAAAAACTTCCTTTTATTATCATTGGAACGTATTAAGATTGTTGATGAAGAATAGAGGTCTCTTTCCCAAAGGATGCTCCCATTCTGCCTGTAATTATTACGCAACAAAAATAAAATGGATGTCAATTCCATTAGATTGCAAAAATACCCACATCAGTTGGTAAAACATTATTAGTAAAGTCAGGAGGGTGTATCTGAGCCTTTTTCCCCCCTTATTTATTTTAATTGAAGGACAATTACAATATTGTGATGGTTTCCGCCACACATCAACATGGCTCAGACACAGGTGCACACATGTCCCCTCGCTTGTGAGCCTCCCGCCCCTCTAGGTTGTCACAAAGCGCCGGTCTGAGTTCCCTGAGTCAGAGCAGACGCCCCGGCTGTCTGTTTCACAGGTTAGCTCTTTCTGAAAACGCTCCTTCGCTGCACGGTATTGCTGTTTAGTTGCTAAGACCCGTCTGACACTTTGCCCCCATGGACTGCAGCCCTCCAGGTACAGACACCAAGCCTTCTGCATTGGCAGGCTGGGTCCTTTAGCCCCAAGCCAACAGGGCTGGCTCCTTAACTGCACGTTCATATATTCCTCAGCTGAGCATCCAGGATTTGAAGACACTGCATTCTGTAGCCTCGAGGTTTACCTTCCCTTTACTCTCCATCGTCAGGGCTAGGTTCAGGCCATGCTAGTTGGCCTCTGAAGTTTATATGTAGTCCAGAGACTCACTAAATTGACTAAACCTTTAAAGGACTACAAATTCAAAATGCAGAGATGAGGGAAAAGGCTGTTGATAGGATCTTCCGACGAGGTGTCCAGAGTTGCCCAGCCGGACACAAAAACAAAGGCTGTTAAACACGAAGCCCAAGGATGTGAGCTTAGGAGCAGAGGCAGCACCCCACACAGGAGTCTATTCTGGTACCTTGCTGGCGGCCCCCAGGATGGAGGCGGCACCGCAGAGGCCACTTCAGCTAAAAACAAACCAGGACGTCTTCCTCCTGCCCAGCTGACATAGGCAGCCTCTCCATCGGGTCTACATATTCTAACCTTCTCTTTCTTCTTGCCAAAATCCTTGTCAATGCAGTTTTCTAGGAGACCAGCTAAACTTAGTACACAGGAGAGAACGGTTAACAGTTGGTAGTGTTTGGGGGCAGTTACTATGCTGGTGGGTGCTTCTAAAAAATGAGACAACTAAAGACCTTGGGACGGGGGGAATCACTGCAATGTGTGTATTAGAGAAGACACAGTAAGAAAAGGCTGTTAGCCCAAGTAAAACAAATGATATTACCTACTGAAACAGTGTGAAAGGCTATACACGATTACCTCGGGGAATCCAAACACCAACTCCGAGAAGGAGGCTGGTTATTATCCTGATTTTACAGATAAGGAAACTGATATTTAGATTAACTAAACTGCTCCTGGTCACATGGCAAATAAGCAGAACTGGCATTAGAATCAGGCGGGTCTGTCAGATTCCTGAGCACACGCTCCTAAAAGCCTGATTACCTGTCTGATGCCCCCCACCCCAACAGATCACAAGGGCTCCAAAGAGGCAAAGGACACACCACCACACCACTGGTGCACGGCATACAAGGAAGGCGCCAAACGTGTGAATGAACAAGTGAATGAAACAGTGAGGGAGGACTAAAACAGACACTTGTGGCTAAGCACTGACCATCTGGGCTTCCCTGAGGCTCAGCTGGTAAAGAATCCACCTGCAATCCCAGAGACCCTGGCTCAACCCCTGGGTCAGGAAGATCCCCTGGAGAAGGGATAGGCTGCCCACTCCAGTATTCTTGGGCTTCCCTGACAGCTCAGCTGGTAAAGAATCCACCTGCAATCCCGGAGACCCTGGTTCGACCACTGGGTCAGGAAGATCCCCTGGAGAAGGGACAGGCTACCCACTCCAGTATTCTTGGGCTTCCCTGACAGCTCAGGGAAGCCAGGGTTCAATCCCTGGCTTGGGAAGATCCCCTGGAGAAGGAATAGGCTGCCCACTCCAGTATCTTGGGCTTCTCTTGTGGCTCAGCTGGTAAAGAATCTGCCTGCAATGCAGAAAACCGAGGTTTGGTCCCCGGGTCAGGAAGATTCCCTGGAGAAGGAAATAGCAACCCACTCCAGTGCTCTTGCCTGGAGAATTCCAAGGACAGAGGAGTGGGACAGGCTGCAGTCCACAGAATCGCAGAGAGTCAGATACGACCGCAACTAAGTTTCACTTTCACTTACAATTTACACTTTGAGCTGTAAAGACAGTGAATTTCTAAGAGCCGACTTTTGCTTTGTACGCTTTCTTTCTTGTTTATTTCCAGCTATAGAGGAGTGAGATTCTGATGCACAAAAAATATATTGGGTAGTGGAAATACCCAGAAAATGTTGATCTCAGTGACTTTCCTTAATGGGACAGGGGCTTTCTCATCTTCCAGGCTTCTCACAGTGTCTTCAAAAACCCTGCAGCAGGTCTAGAAGAAGGGGGACAGCCCCAGCTCCCTCCGGGCAGGGCCAGTCCATATCCTGATCACAGAAGTCTCCAGAACAGACTAGCTGCTGTGTTTGGCGGCAGCCCTAAACTGCAGGAACACTCGCCAATGCTGACAAGGCTGAGCAAGCAGCCCACGGGTGACAGAAATTCAACCTCCCCCTCTAGAGAAAGTCAGCGGAAACTTCTACCACTCGGCTTTGTAGGTTGGGGGACAGCACACTCCCTTTCCCCACCTCTCCCCAGAGAGGAGAGAGAAGAGCTCCCCACACACCAAGAACCCGCTCAAGATTCTGTTCCCCTCCGATTCTTCTCATGCAAATTCAACAGGTCAATGATAGCATGACTGGGTCTGGGGCTTGGGGTGGCAGAGAAGGGGAGAGCAGTCATTTGACCTAAGAAACTGTCCATTACCTCATTTAAGTCCTATTCCAACTCTAAAGAAATGTCAAATAAAACTCACATTATCCTCATGCTATAAATTAAAAAAGCAAAGAGAGAATTTCCCTGGTGGTCCAGTGGCTAAGACACTGTGCTCCCAACACAGGAGACCCGGGTTCCATCCCTGGTCGGGGAACTAAGATCCCACATGTCACGGGGCAACTAAGTCCAAGTGCTGCAACTTAAGGGAAGCCGTGCATTGCAACAGAGACCAAGCACAGCCAAAAAATAACAACAACTCGTTTTCTTCACCCGGGGGACAAGCGCTACATTCACGTCTAGGACGAAGTGGGTCTCTCCCATCATAGATTATTTCATAGGGATAGCTCATGAAAATGGACTTCCATGATTTAACACCTATGGAAATTAAAAGCAAAATGTAGAAAATAGCCCTTTACATATAATTCTTTCATTTTTAAAATACTCATTTTCCTTATACAAATGTAATATATGCAACTGAGGATCTAATATAAGTGTGGTTTTATTTATATTTGGCAATAAATAGCAGTTATTACCAAAAAAATGAGCTTTATAAGACTGAGTCACTTACCAGACACAGACACACAAATTATTTATTTTCCCTCTGAACTTTAAAACCATTACCAACGGGTGATTTGCCAAAAAAACTCTTTTAAAAATGTATTAACCACCAACCAATAGGGATGCCTACTGGAAAAAGATTCTATCTTATGGTTTATTCCAAATGACTGACATTACAAAGTGGCGATTTGCCAAGAAACTGTTTAAAAAGGTATTAACCACCAATAGGGATGCCTACTAGAAAAAGATTCTATCTTATGGTTTATTTCAAATGACTGATTCTCCATTAACTTCCAAGAAAAAAGAAAGTGAACTGAGGGAATGATGGCTCATTATTATGAATACTCTGAAACTTATGAAAGGCTTTCAATCTACGAAAGGGCTGTGGCCCGGCAGACCGCACATGTGCTGCTCTGAGCAGAACACACATGTGCTGCTCTGAGCAGAACACACGCGTCTGCAGAGAAAGCACTGCCACCCACGCCGGCCAACAGGTCGGTGCGGAGGGGCCCCACACACCGCCGCCCGGGACGCCGGCGCCGCGGAGCCCGCCGCGAGGGGGCGCCCTCCTCACACAAAGGCGCCGGGAGCCCCGAGCCCGGCAGCCGGCAGAGGCGGCGTCCGCCACTCGGGAAGGGCAGCCGCTGCGCCTGGCGGTTCGCGTTTCCCCGCGGCCCCAGCGGCAGAGGCGGCGGGACTCATCTCATATGAAAGGACGGTGGAGGGAACGGGGTCGGCGGGAGCCTGGGGCCTCAGGGCTAATTGCTGGATGGTCCACCCCAGCGGACGTCTTTCCCGGCCCCAAGCCGGGCCAGCCTCTTCCTCTGCACGGCGGCTCCTTCACACTGGGGCCATGAACAGGGGAGCGCCTCTCCTTTCCGGGCCCTAAAGTACAGCCGTCCTTCCGTCAGGAATGAAAGGACGGCTCGTCCCCAAGACTCCCTGGGTCTGGTTCAGGCTCGTCCCTCGGAAGCCGGCCCCGGCCCCGACCCCGCCGGACGCCCGGGCTCTGCGCCCTCAGCCCCGGTGGGGCGGACGGACAGGCCGTGTTCCCGTCAGGACAGCCGGCCCGCAAGGCTCGGCCCAGGCAGGGCCCACGGCCCGGACTCCCCACTCTGCCCCCAGCTCCCAGCCCTACCGCGCCTCTGCGCTGGTCTAATCTGCACAGCGCCCCTGTGAATGGGCACCAGGGCTGTACAAACGGGCTGCTGTGCAGACGGGAGGAGACGAAGGCGAGCCACATGACGCCTGACACAGAGGAAGCGCCAACTGAATCCCGGTGATAAACGGCAGGAGAAAGCAGCACTCAGACGGGACGGGACAGACTGAACGCGCGGCGGCCCGGCGAGCAGCGCTCAGTCTGGATCTAGTGGAATGAGGAGGAGCCCACCGGAGGAGAGGAGGACGGAGCCTGGCGAAGGCCCGGGGCCGCGAGAGACACCCGCAGGGCAGGGACCGAGGGCCCTGGGAGCCAGGACCGAGGCTCAGCGGGGCACTGGGCCTGGAGAAGGTGTGCTGGAGGGGAAGACAGCCCAGACATGGTCCTGAGAGATGGCTGAGAGCAGAGCTGCATCTTTTGGCTCATCGGTTCAGGAGACTGCGCAGAGCAGGCGCAACAGGGCCACCAGCCGGCTAGCAGCCAGCTAGTGAGCCGGAGCAGAGGGCAGGGCTTCAAGAACAGGGGTGGGGAAGGAGCGGAACCGTTCTGGTTCACGTGGCCTTCTGCCGGGAAGCCTCTCCGAGCCTTCTCCTAAGGGCTCTGACAGCACCACAGACATCCCGGGGCAGGGGTGTAACACTCGCTTCTCCAGGTGCACTCGGCAAATTCCTCAAGGCCTGTGGGGAGCGAAGCCCTTGCTTGGCACCCAGAATACAGAGGTTGACAAGAGGGGAGAGGTCTGGGCTCTACGGCCAGTGCCGCAGGGGGATGGCTGGGATGGGATGCAGACAGCAAACAGGGAGGGGATTACCCAGATCTAGGGGCTGCAGGCCATGATGGGGAAACAGGATGGCAGGCTAAAGGGAAAGGGGTAGCAGATGGAGACGGGTGCACGGGGTGGTCAAGAACCGCCTCTCTGGGCCTTCCCTGGGGGCCCTGTGGCTGAGACTCTGCACTTAACAATGCAGAGGGCTTGGGTTCGATCCCGGTCAGAACTAGATCCCACATGCCACAACTAAGACCCGGCACAGCCAGATAAATAAATACTTAAAAAAAAAAAAAAACATGCTTCACTGAATGCTTCACTGACGAAGGGCACCTCCGAGGACCCCTATGCAATGAGGGCCAGTAGCGAAGACTGTCCTCGGACGCCGAGGACACTAGTGTGGCTGGAGTGGGGTGAGCAGGGAGGAGGGAAAAGGAAGCATGGGACCTGGCAAGCGCAGAGCACAGGTGGCTTTGCGCTTCCAAGGACAGAGTCGGTGCAGGCCTCGGGGAGTGTGGGAGGACTCCAGCTGACGATGGCCAGTCGGCTACAGTCAGGAAGGCCCAGAAACACTCAGAGAGCTACGGCAGTGCTGCAGGTGAGAACCGGGGCAGCCGGCACCAAGTTGCCCGCTGAAGGAGTGGTCAGCATGGCCCGATTTAGATATATTTTGAAGGCACAGAGTTCGCAGGGCCTGCTGATGAACTGCACATCGGATGAAGAGAAGCATGGACTGAGGAGGTCTAGCTCTGGGGCCCGGTGACTATGCTGTGCCACCGCCTCAGGAGACAGGCAGGAGCAGAAGCCGCAGACTCGGGGCAGGAAGGCGAGAAGCGGGCTGAGAGTCTGGCTTTAGGTGTCTTATCGAATCGGAGAAACTGCGAGGCACCCAAGTGGAGATGCCAAGGAGGCAGCTGTGTGTGCGAGTCAAGAGCTCGCGGCAAGACAGGCTAGAAACGAAGTCAGGCGCGCTGTCGGGATAGATGCTGCTACGAAGCCTGGGTCAAGCCAAATCCCCTAGAGTAAGTGCAGATGATAAGAGGTCCGGGGGTGAAACCAGCCAAGGTGACGGAGAAGACACAGCCTCAGAAAGAGGAAAAGCAGGAGAAGGGGGTCCTGGCAGCCAAGGAGGGGCACTGGGGTGCAGGCAGGCAGGGACAGGCAGAGGTTTGGTGCTGCCCGGCACTCAAGTGAAGAGCTCTTCAGATGACCACTGGGCGAAGGTCGCCATCACCCCAACAAGCGGCATCAGTGATGTGGGGGCTTAAGGGAAACAGGGTGGGAGGAAGGAGACAGCGAGCGAGATGATGCAACTCTTTCGAAGAGAAAAGAAGATACAGCACCGTGGCTACAGGGATGTGGAAACAGAGAAAGTGTGTTAAGAGGTAAAATGTGACAGCATGTTTGCGTCCTGACAGGAATGATCCAGCAGAAAACAGTAAACCCATGGGGGCGAGGAAAAATGTAAGAAGGGGTATAAATTCTTCAAATGGCTGGAAGAGCTGCATGAGCTTTTATGACTCAAAGTGTTGATTAAAAAAAAAATTTTTTTTTTCCTTTTAGCTTTCAAGAATTAGAATAATTCTGTTACTAGTTGAAAGAAATCTTAGAAGCCTATTTGTAGATACTAGAGGTTGGTCCAAAGCTAAAATGAAAAATAACTGAGAAATAAAATTTTAACATAAAGAGCAAAGAGATGATTATAAAAATGTCATTCAAGTTATTTTCTTAAAAAAAATTTGCCCTTTATATATGATACCCTATAGCTCAAGATGAAAACTTCTAAGGTCATCATTTTCCAGTATCCATGGGCAGGGTATACTTACAGGCTGCACTGATTTAGTCTGTAGAATTTATGTCTCGCAACACAGAGTCTCCATACGTATTTTGCTGTTTCCATGTCTTCCTAGTAAACAAAAGACGCACAAAGTAAAGCAAAGCACGTCTACAACTTGATACAGACCTTATCTGAGAACAAGACAGAAATGGGTGACATGGTATATCAAAGTCACATCTAACACACTGTGACTCTTGCATTTTCTACCACTGCACCCCTCATATGAATGTTGTAATTAGGATTCAAATTACAAAAACCAACAAAAAGCTCTCAATAGTATGATTCTTATATTAACAGTTTCCAGATGACTCAGAAATTTTTAAATTATGTCATTTACAGAAAATGTCATCTTGTATTATTACCCAAAGATGTTACTAAACAAAACATTATTATTATTGACAAATAGATACTCAAGGACATTTTTAAATGAAGTGACTCACAGACTCATGGCTTTCATCTAGAGAGTAAAGGTAACTGTGAAACAGTGTTTCCACAGAGCTATTCACTTATCAGTGGGAGCCAAGATGCCAGGGTTTCCTGTCTTCCCCACTTGTGCTCAGGCGTACTTAGTCGCTTCAGTCGTGTCCGACTCTTGCAACCCCATGGACCGTAACCCACCAGGCTCCTCTGTCCATGGGATTCTCCAGGCAAGAATACTGGACTGGGTTGCTATGCCCTCCTGCAAGGGATCGTTTCGACCCAGGAATCGAACCCTGTATCCTGCACTGCAGGCAGATTCTTTATAGCTGAGCCTATGTATGTAATTTAAAGGTCATCATAATCAGACAGTATTTATCCAAAGACTCAATTCATTCAACAGTATTTACTCAGCAACTTTGCTAAGTGCGATTATGCAAAATGTTATAAAGAATAAAATTTTATGTTTTATAAACTATGAAAAGCTATCATTTTAAAGCTACTCCCCCAAACATACACACAGAAATGTTAACTTTTAGGGAAAAACAGTCCAGGCAGATTCTTAACGTCTACTCACAGTTTGAAACTGGATGGTCTCCTCTTTATTTGCCAGCTCTAACGCAAAAAAGGACTTATTATGGGACATGTTAGCAATATCATGCCACCTGGAGAACAAGAAGCAGAAAATGGCTGTATGAGCACTCAGGTTTTAACTAAGAGACGGAAGATATGATTTTTTTCCTTCTTGAGCTTATGTATAACCTATTATTTGTTATCATTTTAGGAAGAAAACGGGGCTTTAATCGGCTGGCCTGCGTTTTATAATGGAAGTGACAACAGGGAGGTACGAAAAGTAATGCCAGCGTAATAACACAGAGGCAGAGTATTCAAAACTGTGAACTCGGGGACTTCCCTGGGGGTCCAGTGGTTGAGATCCCGCGCTTCCAATGCAGGTGGCGAGGCTCTGATCCCTGGTCAGGAAACTAGGATCCCACATGCCGCACGGCTGGGCCAAATACATATAAATGGAAACTCTACTCAGCCTCGTTTGCTGGACTAGTTTGATCAAATATCCCACTCTCAGCCACCAATGCTCCTTCGTTCATTCAACAAACGCCTTAGAGGGCACCCACCGTGACGATAGCAGAGACCCTGTGTTTGGTCCTGGGGTAGAGATGGGTGAGGGGCAGTGATGCCCTCAGCGGGGCTCTGGTGGGGGTGGGGCGGGTGTACGGAGATGGGTGAGCGGCAGTGATGCCCTCAGCGGGGCTCCAGTGGGGCGGGTGTACGGAGATGGTTGAGGGGCAGTGATGCCCTCAGCTGGGCTCTGGTGGGGGTGGGGCGGGGGTACGGAGGTGGGTGAGGGGCAGTGATGCCCTCAGCGGGGCTCCAGTGGGGGTGGGGCGGGTGGCGAGCATAGGACCAAACAAGCACTCCTGCCTTCTGGTTCACAGGGCAAAATAAGACACAGAGGCAGAGCGGAGATGCTCTAAAAAGCTGGCGAAGCAGGGCAAACAGCAAGTTCAGATGCTGCAAACCCAAAGAGTGAGCTACTCTGGGGGTGTTCACCAGGATTCAGACCTCAACTCTGAACTTTCTAACTGCGTGTATTTTACCATGTTAAGATATTAATACTTCATGACACACTATATAATTTTTACAAAGGGAAAAACAGGTCTGGAAGAAAAAATTTTACCCCTTTATTCTTCTCTATCTTATTAAATTTATTGAAATAAATAAAATTCATTCACAATAACTTGGTACTTCATTGCTTTTGTTTTTTAGTTTTCTGGATGCACTGCATACAGAGCATGTGGGATCAAACCCAAGCCCCATGCGTTGGAAGCACAGAGTCTTGACCACTGGACCGCCAGGGAAGTCTGTAATTGCTAAACCTGAAGATTATGAGTGTCATATTAAAGAAGGCATTTTAGAATTTCCTATCCAGTGAAATAAAGGAAGCCCGTGGGGATGTCTCCCATGTTCCTGTGACCTTTCGAGCAATGTCAGCGTCCTGCCCTTCGGTGCCAGCCAGACCCATCTCTGCCCACTGCCCTGCAACTGAGCATGTTGTGGAGACAGTGAGCAGCCTGGGGACCTGAGAGCGACTGCCCTCGGGAGCCACTGAGCCAGGGCAGGGCGGTCCAGGAGCGGGGACCTGTCCCCAGGCCGGCACACACTCCACGGTCACAATCACCAGGGAGAATTCAGGCCCCCAGAGGCAGGAAAGCAAAGGAAGGGAAGAGACACAGATACTGAGAAGGGAACTGCCATCACCTGAAATCCCACTGCTGCCAGCCAGCCTTGCCTAGCACACTGCTATCTGTCCTCCCTGTCCTCCTGGCGGGGCTACATTCTAAGAGCTCCATAAATGAAGGGTACCACTCTTTTTATAACCAACAGAAGAAAAATCTACATTACAAAAAGTGTTTAGGCGTTGGTATTTTAGGAATTTTGGTACCAACTAGAATCAGGGAAAGCCTAGATTTCCCACAAGAAATAGCCGGGGAAACTAGAGTGCAAATGAAAAATGCACCGCTCACTCACATTCGTGTGTGTGCATTTGTTCTGCCCCACGGGGGTGAATTTTGTTTCTTTCCCCTAAGGCTGGGGTACAGTGGGCATCAGGGACTTAATTCTGAACCTGATAAAACGTGTTTCTAAGGGCACAGTGCCCTCACCTGCCAGGAAATCATCCTAACACACAAGCCTCAGCTACAGAGGAGAAAAGTCAGATTCTGTTTTTGAAATCGATTGGGATCTAAACCCTGAAATAAATACTCATACTTTACATAGAAAAAAAAGAAAAGAAAAATTCACACACCAAGATAAAGAATGGCCTCCATATGGTAAGAAAAGGGTCACATGTTTTTAAACACTTCATAAGCGGGCCACCATTATAAACACTGCAATTTAGTTTTGAAGTAAGTATCTTATAACTATTGCAGTCAGGTGCAATTTTATTCTAAGAAAGGCACATTTCCATGTCCTGGTGAGCCCTTGGGAGACACTTACTTGCGAGCAATAAAATTAGCACAGACACTAAAACGCAATCACCCACAGGAGCCACAGAAGGTGCACAGAAGGAAGAGTACCTAAACACCGCAGGAGGCCGCCCACTCTTGTGCTTCACAAAGACGCCTTCGAGACACGCTCCGATGGATATGTCGCTGCCTTGGCTGTCCTAGGAGGAGAAAGCGGACAAGGAAACACTGGGGGCGGCAGAGACACGGGGGCCACCGGGTCCCCACCTACCCCCACTCGTGGGGCCCACATGGAGAAGGCTTGGGAGACCTCCACCAAGGGGGCAAGTCTGCAAGGTGTGAGTGTGTCGCCTTTTAACACACACGAAAATAGAGCTGGGCTCCTTGAGGAATTCTATTTCAAGAGTGATTCCAAGAACAGACGACAGAACAGGAACACCTGTTTCGTGAGAAAACTTTGGCCACGAGGACCTCAGCTTTCGCATTTCCAAACGTCTGCACGTCTCCGGCCTTCGAGCCGCGCAGCATCCCTGGCCTTCCCTGCTGACCTGCTGGAACAACTCAGGCGCCCTCTAGAGGGCCCCGTCTTCCGGCCTCGCTTACCTTGGCAGGGTAGCTCTCTTCCCCATAGCCGTCCATTCTCTCTACCTCCTGCATGTAGAGCATCTCCGCGTCAGGAGCTGTGAGACCCCTGCAACCCGAGAGACGTCAGACAGACTGTTCACAAACTAAAAAAATTTCAGAAGAGCTTGTTTGTGAAACACTACATCTCAATCGAGCATAAAACGTTAGAAACATTTAACAAGTTTCTAAGCATAAAACTTTTCTGTGATTAGTTATATCAGTCCATCAGTATTTACTGAAAATCAACTACATGCAAGAACGCTGTGCTGAATGCTTAGGGTTAGTTATGTGAGGTCCAACCCCTTGGCCTTTGGGCAGGCAAGGGGAAATGCAGGAAGTAAAGCAACCTCCTAAGAAACCTTCAGTGGAAGCTAGACTTCTCCCTAAACCACCGAAGTGTCAGACAGTACTAAGCACTGTGCGCTAAAGGCCACACGGCGGGGCGAGTAAGGGGCAGCAGCTGGAGATCCTTTCTGGCTCTGGTGACAGCGTGACGAGGGTGGGCAGGTAGGCGGGAAGGCAGCACGGGCAGAGAAGGAGCCCACTGCAGGGACACCTCCTCTCCAACCTCACCTGATGCTGCTCCACACACCCACATGGTACACCCACCGCGACCACCCCAGGCTCAGTGTATCTTTGAATATACCACACTCCCTTGTGCCTCCGAGCCTTTGCATGTGCTGATCATGCTTCCTGGTCTAACCATCACCCGCCTGCACACCTGGTCAACCCCTGACACCCATCAAGACTCAGCCTGCGCACCCTCTCGGTCACCTTCTGGGACTGCCCTGCTCTACACAGACCCACCACCTTCTGTGCACGCCTCTCCCCCGCGCTCACGATGATCACTATTAACTGCTATTACAGGGGGCTGAACTGCCTACCCCTTAAGACTCTGGCAGGTCACGGTTCTATTTATCTTTGTGCCACAGCATTGAGCACTCTGCCTCATAACAGAAGAGCAGCACTAAATTATCTCTTAAGGAGATGCACAGATGAATCAATGAAAGTAACAAACGATAGAGCAAGGTGTGCCCGAAGGATTAATTATGCTGAAAAAAACCGGGTTCATTCGGACAGCAGAAGATAAAGCTGGAATGGCAGGATTGAACCAATTTGTGAGAAGCCTTTAATCCCAGGGGTGATGAACTCAGGCTGGTGGAAAGCAAGAAGATTCATGAACACTTGAGGAGAGGAGGGGAGACAGCCGAAAGAGCTATTTTAGGAGAATTAATCTTTTGTGAGTGACTGTCTGGATTTGAGTGGGAACAGACTAAAGGCAAAAGGTTATTTTTAATAGGAAGGGGTGAACAATAGGTTATAATGAGACAGACCTGAGTTCACATCCCACCTCTACCACATGTAACTTTGGGCAAGTTATTTATAGTCTTTGTGAACTTGATTTTCCCAATCTGTAAGGAGATAATAACATTTACCTTAAAGAGTGGTTATGAAGAATTTAATGATACACAAAGTACTTGGAACTGAGTGGTACTTGGTTTAGCATGAAACGTAGTGTTCTCAAGGACAGGAATTTCAGACAGCACATGCAGCTTCACTCTCAGAGACCAGGATCTGCCCAGAAGCAGGGGTCAGAGCAACAAGCCCACTGCTCTCAGCACAGCCTGCCTAGAGGACAGGGAGATGGCTTCCAAAGGTGGGTGGCGAAGCTGGGGGTGGGGGTGGGGCCGACCCAAAACATCACATCTGCCACAAAGGAAAACAAATCTCTCTAATCTTGCATTAACCTACACAGAGCCAGGCCACCGCCCACACCTTCAGTATGTGGGAGGAAGAACGGGCAGCCTTCAGGGACTGGCTGCTTTCAGCTTCCTCAGTTTCACCAGTGATACAACATGAATAATAGATGGGTTAATGTGGGGAAGTGCTTGGAAGAGCGCTTGGCAGGCGGCTAGAGCTCTGCCCAGGTGGGCTCCTGGTAACTGGCGGTAGGTGCAGCACTAAAGGTCCGAATTTAATGCTGGCAGCGCGTGGTCCCAATTCAAACAGGCACAAGTCCCACACTGTTCCCACTTCTCAGCGTTACCTGTATTTCTGATGCAGTAAGGCCACTTTTTGGGTTGCTTCTTCCAACACTTTTTCATCTTGTAACCACTCCTGGGAAAAACACACGGCAGTGAGTATGGGAACAAATCACTCATATTTCTTAGGAGGAATCCGTGCTACTGTTATTGACTCTTGTCCCCAGCAGGCAAAACCAGGGCTCGAATCAATATCTGAGAGCTTCACTCAAGGACATAATCATGACCTTTCTGAGAATTAAGTGGCTTCTGCTCAAAAGCCAAAACACTTGCCCTGCCTTCTCAATTCATCCCAGAGAAACTTGCTGTTGTTGTTGTCTAGTTGCTAAGTCATGTCCGACTCTTTTCGACCCCATGGACTGTAGCCCGCCAGGCTCCGCTGTCCATGGGATTTCCCAGGCAAGAATACTAGAGTGGGTTGCCATTTCCTTCTCCAGGGGATCTTCCCAATCCAGGGATCAAACCCACGTCTCCTGCTTGGCAGGTGGATTCTTTTCCACTGGGCCACCTGAGAAGCCCCCAGAGAGAGTTACAGATGGGTTATTTCAGGTGGTTAACATTCATCAGCCAGTTCCAAGCCCAGGACATAACACCATCTCATGCACTCCCTGGCTGGCTGGGTAGACAATCAGAACAGCACACCGCTTCCTACAGTTGTTGCAACACAGTTTCCCTGTCAATTCCACCAGTATTGACTTTAAAAAGTAGAAAGCTGGGTCTTTTTGTCATCTGCTCTTTAAATTGCTGATGAGAAATGATATTCACTTCAGCATAACTCTGTGAGGTTTCAAGTTTTTGGTTAAAATCAAAACCTCTGTGGTTCCTCAGAAGCTGGAAATGAGTGCCTCTCTTTAGACTCACATTCGAACACAAAATGAATTTCTCTGTCTGCAGCCCCGCGGCCAGACCCTTCTGCTTCTGTGCTTTTACAAGGACCAGAAGTCTATAACAGGGAAAGCAACAACTTAAATTATTTATAAGGACCAGCTGATTTTTTTTTAACTCTATCCCTACCTAGTAAGTCTAATATATGGACTTCATTTCAGGGATTATTAAGGGTCTAGAAATGCACTGTTGATAAAAATGTCCAATGTCAAAAGAATTCTTACCACAGGAAGCAAGGCGAATTTCTGAAGAAAATCCTGCGATTCATACTGATCAAAGTCACCAAAATCAGCTATATAAAATCACAAGTATTCACATGTCAATTATGTTTAATTGGAAGCAAAACATATACACAACTAAATTCAATATGAAGTATACAGATGGTATGCTTATGATTTTAGAAGTCAAATCTGCCTTATAGCTTATAAAATGTATATTTTAAAAATTCCTTTTAAAGCGTCCAGCTCTTTGAAATCCTATGGACTGTATAGCCCACCAGGCTCCTCTGTCCATGGGGATTCTCCAGGCAAGAATACTGGAGTGGGTTACCATTTCCTTCTCCAGGGGATCTTCCTAACCCAGGGATCAAACCTGGGTCTCCCACATGGCAGGCAGACTCTTTACCCAGACAGATTCACGTGTCTGGACTTGGAAAAAAATGCCTTTTAATAAAGCGAAAAAACAAAACACATTACAAATTATATACAAATCATTTCATATTTTTGTCATTAGAAAACAAAAATCTACCCTATAATCATATATGCCTACTTCTGTACAGAAAAATGTCAAGAACAAACCAAATCATTCACGGTAGTGATTACTTCTAGGGAATGGAATTAGATCATCTGACTATGTTACAGTAAGATGTATTTGTTTAGAAATTTTTAATTGTTAAAAGAAACTGATAGTTCAGCCAAAAGCTTATGAAAAACTAACTCTTAAAGCCAAAGGTAACACTTAAGAACATTCAAAGTACTTTGAAAAGGAATATGGCTTCATGAGCACTGGGCATTTTTTTTCACCTAGGAAGGATATGTATTATATCTCCATGTCTGCTAACATCTGAAGGAATAAATTTATTAATAAGGAATTTATTAATTAATTAAATTTCAATTCCTAAGATTAAATGCCAGTTATCATTTGAAATAAAGCCCCATTAGAAGTCTTTCCAAAGTATATTACACATGTAAACACATATGGATTAAACATATGACAAATGACAAACAACTGAAAAACACTTGTGAAATACAAAACTATCTAATAATAATATAATTGGCAATGTTCTATAATCTAGGACAACTATTTAAGAAACCAAACCAATGACATACGCTTGAAGTGTAAGCAAATGTAACCTTATCAACCCCACTGTTTGGCTGATCTTTCTTCTGAAAATATGAGCTAGCAGCAGATCAAGACCCTGCACAAGAGGAATACATGGCATATTAAACGCTATGTGTATGTGTGTGTGTGCATCTGTGTGTATTCCTTCTCTACTGTTGGTCTGTGCCCTGCTGACGTGATAACATGCTTAGCCTTCCAGAAGTCTCATATTTCATTCAGGTAACTCAAACCCATTTCTCCTCCACAAGGAAGCCCCTTAGATAACAGAAATAATATCCCACTAACACAGAAAACTACTCTATAGCACTTACTTTCTATAGTCAGTTACTTTAAGAATCCCTTGTTGTTTTTGTTTAACATGCATTTTAATCTGATTGACCTATTACATTATCAATTGCCATTCTTTACCTTGAACAGCTAAGCCTGCAAGCTGAATTGCTTGTTCTAATGTACAAGGAATGTTTCCTTCCAAGATATCTTTCTTCAGCTGCAGATAATACTGATACCTATTTAAAAAAAAAAAAAAAAAAAGGTCAGTTTTTAAAAGGCAATGTCAGTATTACCTCCAATCGGACACAATGCATTTTATCATAATTTGGTAGAGAAGCATCAACTAGCCAAAATTAAGCTCAGATGATTTTGAAGAATGACAGGAACGTTCCTTGATCATAACTATACTGACAAATACACAGAGAGACACAACAATTGAGTCACTTATTCTTAACTGTAGTTATTTGAAAGCTACAAACTATAGCCACCTAGGAGACAGCTGGTCACCTATCTTATACCCTGTAAAACAGTCTCTAAGTTTTGTTGTTTTAGTTGGAGAAACAGAGAATCAGTGGCCAATCTATACTTTAAAAACTCTTTGGAGGAACCTGGTGATGTTAAGACTTTCCTAGCCCTGGACAGTAAAGTCAGAAGAAAAATGGTTCCTGACATTTCAGACCAGGTGCATAATAAAATATTCTTTATTGAAATATCAAAAAGGATAGTTGCTAAAATACTTTATAACAGTCTTTTAATGTGGGCTTACTTCTGTTTCTGTTTTCAGTATATAGAGTGTTAGTTACTAGCACAACCTTTAGTCAGGCAAGCTTCGGTTAAATTTCAGATCTCCAATTTAGCATTTTGCAGGAACTTGGGCAAGTCATAATCTGTGGGTTTAAATTAACACCAGTAAAAGGTGGGGTACTATCACCCCTTCACAGGGCTGAACACACCAAGGAATATATGTAAAGCTCTTCCATAAAACTACAGCATAGCTGGTACTTAATAAACAGCTGCTCTCATGACTAGCAGCAGCCAGGCGGCAGTATTTCACCTGGCTGACTTCTCCATTTGATAAAGCTCTACAGTGAGGATTTGTTCTGCCTTCCTTTTATTTATTCACTAAGGTAGTTATTAGGGCCTTCTATGCATCAAGCACTGTTCTAGATGCTCTGGAGACAGTGCTGAATGAAGATCCACCAACTCTCTGCCAATACTGTCTACGGGACTATCTTGAATCCAGAATCTCTTCCAGGTTTGATGTCTGTGAAGCTCGACCCAGTTACAGTTCACAATGGCATTTCCTGGAGAGCCCACCCTTTACCATTTCATATGAGTCCTTACATCATCCTATTTCATTTACCTTTGATATTTCCATGCTTCATTACCAAAAATCTTGAGCGAAACACTATCCATTTGAATAAGAATTGAGATCCAACTTAAACCCCTCCACCTGCTAGAAGCAGAACCCATACATTTCCCTCAATCAGCAGACAATGCTGGCAGCACTGGGTCTTGTCAAAGAGGAAAGCTTGCAACTTTCCCCCAGGAAGCTCCTTTCAAGCATCTAAAGTAGGCTATATCAAACATGCTGTCCACATATTCCACTCTAAATGTTCTCAGTCTTTTTCTTCATCAAATCACTGGAAAGCAGGTGCACATTCTAGACTGATGCCTAGATTATGGCATATACTTTCCTAACTGGTCTCCTGCCTGCAGTCTTGTAACCTCTAATCTACCTTTCATGATGGATGATCTTCGTAGAATACACATTTCATCATTCTCTTCCACTAAAACTCAAAAATGCCTTTCCCTATTGGTCTATGACTTTATGACTTCGGCATTTCTTTTTCAAAGCCTCTGTTCTCCTCTCGAGGTAATAACTGAAATTCCCTGAAAAAAAATCAGTTGCTTTTATTAGCCCCTTACTTTGCACAAGCTACTCCCTCTAACTAGAAAATTCCTTGTAAAGTCAAGTGAAAGCTCACAGTCTGTACCTTCCCTATTCATACTCCCTGCAACCCACTCCTAGGAATCCAGTGCTATAATTCAGTTCAGTTCAGTTCAGTTCAGTTCAGTTCAGTCACTCAGTCATTTCCAACTCTTTGCGACCCCATGGACTGCAGCACGCCAGGCCTCCCTGTCCATCTCCAGTTCCTGAAGCTTGCTCAAACTCATATCCATTGAGTCAGTGATGCCAACCAACCATCTCATCTTCTGTCGTTCCCTTCTCCTGCCTTCAATCTTTCCCAGCTTCAGGGTCTTTTCTAATGAGTAAGTTCTGCACATCAGGTGGCCAAAATATTGGAGTTTCAGCTTCAGCATCAGTCCTTCTGATAAATATTCAGGAATGATTTCCTTTAGGATTGACTGGTTGGATCGCCTTGCAGTCTAAGGGACTCTCAAGTCTTCTCCAACACCACAGTTCAGAAGCATCAATTCTTCAGTGCTCAGCTTTCTTTATACTCCAACTCTCACATCCATTCCTGACTACTGGAAAAACCAAAGTTTTGCTAGATGGACCTTTGTTGGCAGAGTAATGTCTCTGCTTCTTAATATACTGTCTATGTTGGTCATAACTTTTCTTTCAAGGAGCAAGCATCTTTTAATTTCATGGCTGCAGTCACCATCTGCAGTGATTTTGGAGCCTCCCAAAATAAAGTCTTTCATTGTTTCCATTGTTTCCCCATCTATTTGCCATGAAGTGATGGGACCAGATGCCATGATCTTAGTTTTTTGATTGTTGAGTTTGGAGCCAGCTTTTCCACTCTGCTCTTTCACTTTCATCAAGAGGCTCTTTAGTTCCTCTTTCTTTCTGCCCTAAGGGTGGTGTCATCTGCATCTCTGAGGTTATTGGTATTTCTCCGGCAACCTTGATTTCAGCCTGTGCTTCATCCAGCCTGGCATTTCGCACGATGTACTCTGCATGTAAGTTAAATAAGCAGGGTGACAATGCACAGCCTTGACGTGCTCCTTTCCCGATTTGGAGCCAGTCCGTTGCTCCATGTCCGGTTCTAACTGCTGCTTCTTGACCTGCACACAGGTTTCTCAGGAGGCAGGTCAGGTGGTCTGGTGTTCCCGTCTCTTTAAGAATTTCCCCCAGTTTGTTGTGATCCACACAAAGGCTTTGGCATAGTCAATGAGCAGAAGTAGATGTTTTTCTGGAACTCTCTTGTTTTCTATGATCCAACAGATGTTGGCAATTTGATCTCTGGTTCCTCTGAGATCTAAATTCAGCTTGAACATCTGGAAGTTCTCAGTTCACATACTGTCAAAGCCTCGCTTGGAGAATTTTGAGCATTACTTTCTTAGCATGTGAGATGAGTGCAACTGTGTGAGTTTGAACATTCTTTGCATTGCCTTTCTTTGGGATTGGAATGAAAACTGATCTTTTCCAGTCCTGTGGCCACTGCTGACTTTTCCAAATTTGCTGGCATATTGAGTGCAGCACTTTCACAGCATCATCTTTTAGGATTTGAAATAGCTCAACTGGAATTCCACCACCTCCACTAGCTTTGCTCATAGTGATGCTTCCTAAGGCCGACTTGACTTGGCATTCCACTTGACTTTGCCTTTCCCTCCTCCAGCACATCTTCCAACCCAGGGATAGAACCCAGGTCTCCCACATTGCAGTTGGATTCTTTACCAGCTGAGCCACAAGGGAAGACCGTGCTATAATTAAAGCATGTATTATCATAATATACTGTGGTTGCTCATGTACACGAACTGTCCGTCCCACCGGATTGTGACAACTGCTCCAGAGAAACAGTAAAGCGTATCCACTCGTATATTCGTCTTCCACGGTAACCAACATAATTCTCACATACCACATTATGTCTTCAATAAATGAGTCGAATGAGTCAAAGTGGCCAGTTACTGTTTCTCCTCCTGCTTCCACTCTCTTCAGTTTTTATAGCTCAGATATGCTCTGTGGTCAGTTCATGCTGATCCCTGCAACCTGATTCTAGCTTCTCTGGTTATCTTCTTCCAATAATTAACTGCAAACGCAGTACTTAAAAAGAAGATTCCACAAGCATAGGGCAGTATCAGGTTGTTACTACCTGTAAGCCATTGTGTTAGAAATGATTTGAAGGCAAAGTTAAAGAAAACATAGGTTTAAAATCTAAGAAAAAGATCTGTACACAAATAACTGTAGTGAGAGGCTGTGACAACTTGCCATCTTAACATAAGTATAAGCAAATTCTAGAATAGTCTGGAGAAGGAAAACTTTGGAACTAAAATCAGATGGACAGGATTCCGGTTACATATATCTGAAAGAAAGGTCTAGGACACAAAGGTGAAAACGAACGCAGCATGCTCAGGGCACTGGAAGTAATCCAGCTTGGCTCGAAAACAAGGTTAAACAGGGTTAAAAAGTGCTGGATTTTGGAGAATGTGAAAGGCAGGCTCAAGAATCCAAATTTCAGATAAACAACAAGATCCTATTGTTCAGCGCAGAAAACTATATGTAGTATCCCGTGAAAAACCACAATGGAAAATAATATTCCAAAAGGAACGTGGGTGTGTGTATATATATGTATAATGATCACTAAGCTGTATAGTAGGAATTAACACACCACTGTAAATCAACTATGTAAAGTGTTAGTCACTCAGTCCTGTCTGACTCTTTGTGACCCCATCCATAGACTATGGCCAGCCAGGCTCCTCCGTCCATGGGATTCTCCAGGGAAGAGTACTGGAGTGGGCTGCCATTGCCTTCTCCAGGGGAGCTTCCCGACCCAGGGATGGAACCTGGGTCTCCCACATTGTAGGAAGATTCTTTACCATCTGAACCATCAACTATACTTCAATTGTAAAAAAAAAAAAAAAGAATGCAAATTTGATTTGTTTTTTTGTTTTGTTATCTTCAAGAAAAAAAAAAAAATTAGTTCCTCTATCCCACCCCTTAATACATTCTACGCTTTCTGCCTTTGTTCCTTTTAAGTGCATTTATTGGCCAATATTTTCTGATCTCAAGCCCTTCCCCCACCTCTTTCTCCTTTCACACCTATGCAGAGAACATGGCTACTGGGGTCAGAACTTCTACACATTTTCTTGAGGAGTAAACACAGAATTTGTGCCTATCTTTGAAAAATCTCCTCTCTCATCTCACTGTTGCTAAGGTCAGAAACAAATCCGTAAAAACATTAAGGGTGACATCACTTCAAGAGGAGTTCACAGCCAGGGTAGAAACGTCATTTCCCTTTTAATCGTCCTTTCGTGCCGGGTGGGCCCGTAACTCGAGCAACATGCCATAAAGCGCTCTGACACGCCACACGCCAGAACCTCCGGCAATGCTGTGGCTAGAAATGCATGGTGAGAGGGCGAAGGTTAGTTTTACCTCCAGACTCCAACCTTAGTTTCACCTGTCTAATCTCACTGGATTTCCTGAAAGCAAACAGCACCGTGTTTCTCACCTGGTGATCTCCTGCTGCAGCTGTGAAACCGAAGGCACGTAAAACACCACTCCAAAATAGACAGTCGGCTCCAATGCGTACTTATCCAGCTGCTTCTTCAGAGGCTTTTCCAAATCCACCCACCGGCGCTGATTTTGCTTGTTGTAATACCAGAGGCTGAAGTAAGTGATCTGGAAAGAGGGAGAATCACTGAAGGAGGCAGAAACATACCAAAGAATTTACCTGCCCTAATCCAGTACCTTTTCATACTGTTCATGGGGGGTGGGGGAGTGGGCAGAGGATGCGCTGGTTAGATGGCATCACCGACTCAATGGACATGAATTTGAGTCAACTCCGGGAGATAGCGGAGGACAGAGGAGACTGGCGTGCTGCAGGGCCATGGGGTCACAAAGAGTTGGACACAACCTAACGACTGAACAACAACATATCCATGACCTGGGACCAAAAGACCACAGTTTCCTATCGCCTCTCTTCTCAGAAAGGGACCACGGCAAAACCTAAAGTGGATTAAAAAAAGAGGCAAGCTCTATCTCTGTATAGATACTCATTCAGGAAATGGAGGCGTGGGCCTCCTTGGTGGTCCAGTGGTTAAGAGACTGTGCCTCCCTGCAGTGGGCATGGGTTCAATCCCTGGTTGAGGAAGTAAGATCCCACATGCCACACAGCTGGGAAAAAAAAAATAGAGGCAGAAGTCAATTACACTTGCACACTATCTCTTGAACCCTGCACAAAAAATGTCTAGATATCAGAATTCAGCAGATACTACACAATTTTACGTAAGTTCAACAATAAAAAAAATACTGAAAAAATGTTTAGTTTTTAGTGAGTTCCCTGGTCGTCTAGTGGTTATGATTCAGTGCTTTCACTGTTGTGGCCTGGGTTCAACGTCTGGTCAGGGAACTAAGATCTTGCATTGTATGGTCAAGAAGGAAAAAAAAAAAGTTTAGCTTTTAAATATCAAATATTAAATTTATCATAATTAATATTTTATAATAAGCATAACTGGGGTTCTTACTAAATTCTGACCAGATAGTATTAATCCAACTGTCACTATATTTAAATTTGGCATCTATAAATTATTTCATGTAAATACTGTAAACTCTAGTAGTAAAGATGCAATTGCAATAGCCAAAGCAATCTTGAGAAAGAAAAATGGAGCTGGAGGAATCAGACTCCCTGACTGCATGTTATACTACAAAGGCTACACTCATCAAAACAGCTTGGTATGGCACAAAAGCAGAAACACACCTCAGTGGGCAGCACCGAAAGCCCAGAGATAAACCCATACACGTAGGGTCAACCAGCCTGTGACTTAGAGGGCAGAGAACACAGCGGAGGAAAGACAGTCTCTCCAGTAAGTGACACTGGGGACGCTGAGCAGTCACATGTAAAAGAAAGAAATTTAAACACTCTCTCATACCATACATAAAAATAAACTCAAAATGGATTGGACACCTAAATCTAAGGCTGGACACTATAACTCTTAGCTGAAAACACACTCTCTGACATAAATAGCAACATCTTTTTTGATCCGCCTCCCAACAAAAATAAAAACAAAAATGAATGGTACCTACTGAAACGTAATAGCTTTTGCACAACAAAAGAAACCATAAGCAAAAAGAAAAGACAACCCACAGGATGGGAGAGAATATCTGGAACTACCATGTGACCCAGCAGGCCCATCCCTGGGCATACATCCAGAGAAAACCAAAATCCAAAATGACACACGACCCCAAGTTCACTGCAGCACTACTCACAACAGACAGGACACGGAAGAAACTTAAACGTCCACTGACAGGGGAGCAGACAAGAAGACGCGGTACATTCACACCACGGAACAGTACCCAGCCATAAAAAAGAAGTGACGCCACTGGCAGCAACACCAATGGACCTAGAAATCGCCATACTGAGGAACTATATCAGAGAAAGACCAGCTATCATATGATGCTGCTAATACACGGAATCTAAACAAAATTAAAAAACAGTAAAATGAACTTATTTACAAAACAGAAACAGAGTCACAGGTGTAGAAAAACTTACAATTAACGGGGGGAAAGGGGGAAGGGATAAATTCAGAGATTGGGATTGATATATACATAACTATATCTATTTTATATATACATATAAAATAGATAATAAGGACATACTACTTAATATTCTCATGACCTATATGTGAAAAGAATCTACAAAAGACTGGATATATGTATAACTGATCCACTTTGCTATACACTTGAAACTAACACAACATTGTAAATCAACTATATGTCAATAAAAATTATTTTTAAAAAATGCAACTGCAACTTTCCTTTGCCCCTCAAACTTCATTAATTACAAGTTTATAAAGTAACTGTAGTGCTACAGAGATACAGACACACACACACACACACACACACGCAAGAAGAAGCTATAGCTAAGGCAGTGAAATTACTTAAGTGTCCTACTCAGAGGCTTAAGAAAAACTCCCAGATACCAGCATTTAAATCTCAGTTGCCATGCAACAAACTGTTTAAGTAAATCAATCCTAGCCCTGGACTGGTCAGCCTGACAAGGTGCTAAAGCACGTAAGGACTGAAATGACAGCCTCCGGCCACTGCTAATATTTACCTCATAAATCAATTTACAGATCAAGGCAACTGGAAAAATCACTGCTTGGTTCTAGACTCTAGAGTAACACTGTCAAAGGGAACTTCCTCTGATGGCTGAGCTGCAGGCATCTGCATTCTCTAGGGATGTGAAATGTGGCTAGGGCAGCTGAGGAACCTAACTTCCAATGTCACTTAATTCTAATGGACTGAAATAGCTGCAAACATCTAGTGGTCACTGCATTGATTCATACAGCTTTAGAGCAACAATAATACAGTCAATAATAACACACAGGCTATTTCTGTAACCATAAGCCTCAAAAAATGAGTTCTCAATTTACAGAGGGGAAAAAAAAAAACCAACATTAAAACATGTCCTCAATGCTAGTAAATTTACCTTACAACTTTTTTTTTTAATAACAAAGGAAGACCCATACCTTTCAAAAGTCTATTAGGGGCTTCTCTGGTGGCTCAGCGGTAAAGAATCTGCCCGCCAACACGGGAGACATGGGTTCGATCCCTGGCCCAGGAAGATCCCACGTGCCGCGGAACAACTAGGCCCGAGCGCCACCACCGCTGAGCCTGTGCCCCAGAGCCTGGGGGCCGCACCTCGTGAGCCCAGGCGCTACAGCTCCTGCAGTGGGCACACCTAGAGCCGGCTCCCCAACAAGAGAGGCCCGCAGGCCGCAACCAGGGGGCAGTCCCCCCACGCGGCTCACTGCAAGTCCAGGAAAGCCCACACAGCAGTGAAGACCCAGCACAGCCAGAAAGAAAGAAACAAGTGTTTAAAAAATGAGTCTACTAATCATAGAAACTCATATCAAGAGTCAAAAATGTATGTATCCGTTTTCCCTTTATATCCAAACAGCTAGAGCAGTGCAGGAATTCAGTAAACCTTGAATAAAAGAACGAATATTCTCCTGCTTCTCAGCTGTCACCCCAGTTATCACACATGAATGGAATATTCTGAACATTTACTATGTTGAACCAAATTCTGCTCTAAGAACTAGAGCAATATTATAGATTAAATCCCCACTATTACCTTATCAAACAGATGTCTGTGGTGTGTGTTAAACTCTAAAACCAGTGCTTCTCCAAATGCTGCTGCTGACCACCTCTGCTGGAACTACCTGGAGTGCAATGAGGCCAGCAGGGAGGGACTCCCGAGTGACGCTCGTGCCCAGGAAGTCTCAAAGTCGCCGCACCACAGCGCATCGCCCCCACCCACACCGCCCCCTTCAACGCCATGTAGGAGACGGTCATAGGAATGACCTACCCTTGAGAAGCTGCATGAAAATCAAACTGTTGAAAATCCAAACACACTATTATAGCAGAAAGTTGAGTCCTTCTGCTGTTAATTATTTTCTGAAGTTGTGATTATACTTATAAAATGAAATATGTTATCTGCAGGAAAAGATATCACATTTTTGGAAAACAGGTACTATTCCTATTCCTTCTTTCATCTGAACTGCAACTTACAGAAAAGAAAAGTCTACTGATAGAAGGAAGCTGCTTTAATTTCAAAGTCCTTTAATTTCTAATCTTGCTTGCTGTGAAGTGGAAAAGTCTAATTAGTCCAATTCAGTTTTACCAACTGTATTAAGGCAATAATACCTCCCTTATAACTCCACCATGAGATCTAAATGCAAAAGATATATGACTGCATTTTGCCACTAGAAAAAGATTATGTTTTAAAAAGATTAGTTTCACCCACTCTGCTAAATATTAACAATATCAACTGAAGATCTTGCCAAAAAAAAAAAACGGGAAACCTTTTCTAACTACATTTATTTGGTAATTACAACACAGTACACTTTTGTTCATTCTATGTATGCTTTGAGTTCTATTTGAGATTTGGACTGCATGTTCCATGTTTGGTCTATAACACATACCATTGCTATTCACTTAGTTCTACAAATATTTATTTTTTGCCATAAAAGCAGAAGCCTGAGCATTCTTTAGGATCTAAAACTATTCTTGTCATAAAAATTAAAACATCTTTAAAATACTCTGTAAACATTACTTTTCCCTTTAAATCTAGTCAGACTTGAATCCTCGGAACACAAAAATTTACACAGAATTACAAAACTGTAGGTTTATTATAAAACTTATGAACAGATATATTAAAATATATGAATAATCTGTTAGCATTCTTAAAAAGCACATTGTAGAATAAACTCTTAATAATATGTGCGACAAAGACAGAAATATAGATCAATGGAACAGAATAGAAAGCCCAGAGATAAATCCATGAACCTATGGTCACCTTATCTTTGACAAAGGAGGCAAGGATATACAATGGAAAAAAGACAACCTCTTTAACAAGTGGTGCTGGGAAAACTGGTCAACCACCTGTAAAAGAATGAAACTAGAACACTTTCTAACACCATACACAAAAATAAACTCAAGATGGATTAAAGATCTAAATGTAAGACCAGAAACTATAAAACTCCTAGAGGAGAACATAGGCAAAACACTCTCCGACATAAATCACAGCAGGATCCTCTATGACCCACATCCCAGAATTATAGAAATAAAAGCAAAAATAAACAAATGGGACCTAATGAAACTTAAAAGCTTTTGCACAA